TGGTCTTCGCAGACAAGCATTTGATTAGCTGAAGGATTGATTTGGGAGCACATGATATTTCACACATAACTGGTGTGATCAGTCTGTTCTCCAAGACCTATCAATGCCTGATAGGGGAGGCTTGCTTTGGATGTGCTTGATCATCCCAGAACCGTTTCATTGATAGCAAGTATAAATGCATCCCTTATCCCTGGCAGTTTTTCTTTGTTTGTCAGTTTCATGGAAAACATCCACCATTGTATCTCTGCAAGTGTTGTAATGTTGGTTTTCAAATGGTAAACGCATGTTATGAACACCTTCAGTGCATTTATGACTGTCTCAGCCATTCCGAGCCCCTTCAGAGTGAGGAGAGAATTTTCGGAGGCTGAATCAGATGCTTTCCAGTAAGATAAGTTGGTTTTTCATGCCAGCCTTCCAGTAGTGTCACATCCTAAGAGGGCGTGGACACCTGGCAGTGCAGCGGCTTTTAATGCTTTGAATGATAGGGACACATTTCTGAGGATTATACAGCAATTCTGATCCCTAGCAGAAGGCACAAAAACTGAATCTTGTGGAAGTCTTGGGTAGAGTCTTGTGCAAAAATCTAGAGTTTAGTTGCAACTCTCTCTAGGGCATTGATGCAAGATGATGTTAGTGTCTTTTAATGAAGAAACTCCACACTGTTCAGTGGCGTTTCAACAGCTTTGTTATTTCACGTGATGACAAAATTCTTCGAGCAGTTTTTTGCCTGCTGTAGCATTTCCCCTGCAAAGTTTGCAGTTAACTTGTCCTTCATGCGAGTGTGAGACAGTAGCTTATTGATTGTGACATGGCCTTCACAACATCCCCTGGCAACGAGTTCCACAGATTGACTGTATTGTGTGAATAAGTACTTTATTTTGTTAGTTTTAAACCTGCTGCCTTTTAATTTCATTGGGTGATGCCTGGTCTTTGTGTTATGTGAAGGAGTAAATAACACTTCATTATTCATTTTCTTCACACCATTCATGTTTTTATAGATCTCTATCATATCCCCCTTACTTGTCTCTTTTCCAAGTTGAAAAGTCCCAGTCTTTTTAATCTCTCCTCATATGGAAGCTGTTTCATATCCTTAATAATTTTTGTTGCCCTTCTTTGTACCTTTTCCAATTCTAATATATATTTTTGAGATGGGTCAACCAGAACTGTATGCTGTATTCAAAGTGTGGGCATACCATGGATTTATGTAATGGCATTGATATTTTCTGTCTTTTTATTTATCCCTTTCCTAATGGTTCCTAACATTCTGTTAGCTTTTTTTGACTGCCACTACACATTCGGTGGATGTTTTCAGAGAACTATCCACAGTGTCTCCAAGATCTTTCTTGAGTGGTAACAGTAATTTAACCCCATCATTTTTATGTATAGATGGGATTATGTTTTCCAATGTGCATTACTCTGCAAATATCAACACTGAATTTCATCTGCCATTTTGTTGCCCAGTCACCCAGCTTTGTGAGGTCCCTTGGTAACTTTTTGCAGTCTGCTTTGGACTTACCGTATATACTCATTCATAAGCCGAATATTTTTGGTAAAAGAGTGACTCATCAAAGAGCAGGGGTCGGACAAAATTTGATGATTTTAAACTCTATGGAATCATTTAATTGAATATCTAATACATTGTTGTTTTGTTTACCTGGAGCGTCTGCAGGCCTGGAGCCCCTCAGCTCCCTGTGGCTGCGGACGGCCTTCCCCAGCCACTGGGAGCTGAGGGACTCCATGCCTGTGAACGCTCCAGGTAAACAAAACATCCCAACCTGCCAGAGGCTTACCCTGATGGGCCGGGAGCTAAAGTTTTCCAACCCCTGAGATATAGGGTCGGCTTATGAAAGGGTCATACAGTTTTTGCTATTTTTACCTATCCATTTTGGGGGGTCGGCTTATAAACGAATGGGCTAATGAACGAGTAGGTACGGTAATTATTTTGAGTAATTTTGAATTGTCTGCAGATTTTGCTACCTCACTGTTTACCCCTTTTTCCAGATCATTTATGAATATGTTGAACAGCACTGGTCCCAGTACAGTTCCCTGGGGGACACCACTATTTTACCTCTCACCATTCTGAAAACTGACCATTTATACCTACCCTTTGTTTTTAATCTTTTAACCAGTTACTGATCCATGAGAGGATCTTCCCTCTTATCCAATGACTGCTTTGTTTGCTTAAGCGCCTTTGGTGAGGGACCTTGTCAAAAGCTTTCTGAAAGTCCAAGTACATTATATCCATTGGATCACCTTTGTCCACATGTTTGTTGACTGTCCTCAAAGAATTCTTAGATTGGTGAGGCAGGATTTCTCTTTACAAAAGCCGTATTGGCTCTTCTCCAACAAATTGTGTTGATCTATGTGTCTGATAATTCATCTTGTGCTTTATCTGTGAGGTTATTGATCCATAAGCATTCAAGATCATTTTCTTCTGAGTTATCAGTGACTCTGAGACAGGTAAAGCCATATTTGATGTAGAGTGCCATTCCCTCTCTCCTATTTTGCCCACTCAGTCCTTCCTAAATCGGTTATAACTATTGATGTTAACATTCCAGTTATTTGAATCATCCCACCAGGTTTCAGCAATACCAGTTAGATCAAATTTATGTTCATAAATGAGCAATTCCAAGTCTGTTAGTTAGCTGAACTCCTACTATTAATGCATAGGCAATTCAAGCATTTTTTTCTTGATTAATTTTGTTCCCAACATCTTGATTTTGTGCCTGCTGATTGCTCATATCTTCTCTTGTTTAGCCTTCTCCTGTTGAACAGGCCTGTGACACATTTTGATTCAATTCTGCAGATATATTTGTTCATGTGTTCCAGCTGCATAAGGAATGTTAAATGAACTGAGCAATCAGTGGGGCTAGCTGCTATGATTGGCAGGATTCATACACAGGTCATTCATTCTGGCACCTCGTGTAGTGCCAAGTTAAAGGCTGATCATGTTGGAATTAGCTATCATTTTATGAGCATTAATTGATAACTCAGTACTGTCAGTTGAGAGCCACAATTTAATTTTGTGATGGCTGCATTTTTGACATGCTTGTGCTAAAGTATAATTAAAAAAAGGTTGATTGTTTTAAACATTTTCTTGACTATATATCTACATAATTGTTCTAAGTTTGTCGTGTTTGGTACCATTATATTTGTGGAAAAAAGGGCTTTCAAAGGATACTCAATTCTACCCATTTCTGATGACATTGTACTAGCAAAATTTCCACCAATCGGAGGACTTGGAGCTGGAGAGTAGCAAATCTTCCCTGTCATGATACACAGGGTGACACCACTGAAATGATGATTCTGTAGATTTTTATGAATCAAATGACACCACCTTTACCTTTCTGTCATTAACTTGCCCATAGAATTATTCCTGGTATCAGACTGAATTGCCTGTGCCTAGGAGTTGGAGCTCCCTGTGTGTCTGGTGCCAATGGCCCTCTCTCTCTCACATGTTTATCACTTACTGTTTTGTAAATGTTAGTGTAAATAGAGTAGTGTTAGTAGATTGCTTACTAGTTTTAATTATTCTTTCATTCGGGATGGGACTTTCCTTTGATATTTTTATCAAAGCCTCCAGCATTAGCTTTGAAATGCAGAAGTCCGTGGCCTTCAAGCATTGTCCTTCCTGCAGGGCTGTTATGCCACAAGTGAGCGATGCTTACATCAGATGCCTCATATTCTTGGGAGAGGGGCATGTGAGAGAGAAATGTAGCATCTGCAAGTCATTCAAGAAGAGGACACAGAAATAACAGGAGGTGTGTTTGAGGGACTACTTTATTGAACAATCAATGCATCCAGCCCCTGATCTAATCCATACAGAAGTTGGCAGAGCTGAGTATATACTGACTAGAAGTGCCCCTGAAGCTCTGTATCTGCTTCCCCTGACAAGGATTCAAAGACTCCTAGATTGCATGAGGAGAAGAGATGTCACCTTCGCTAGGATCTTCTCACAAGGTTCCAAAGACTGTTTGTTCTTTGGAACAAAAACTTGAATCAAGACCCAAGAAGGGCTACTCAAGCACTTGAGACTCGGGTCATCGTCACTCCTCGCACACATCATCTCTTGAGTCTTACGGTACCAAGGTCAGAGTGAGAACTATGGCTCAACTCCCCCTGCTACTGTCTGAAGTGAGACATGACCTACCGGTGCCGTTGATCTCATTGCTGTTTAGACCAGTACCTGCAGCAAAGTTACTTATTCTATCACCATGAAATTCCTTTAATTCTCATCCCTCCCACCTCACAAATAGGCCCATTTCCACTGGGTTTGCTTTTGCTTAAGATAGACAGATAGCAGCGGGAGCTAGAGAATAAGATGGCTATCTAGAATGCCAGAAGAACAATGCAGCAGCCATGGCCCAGGGAGCCAGGAATATGAACCAATGAAGCCAGTTTTAAGTTCCTTTTTCCCTGGCTCACGTGCTGGGGAGGGAGGTTCTGAGCCAGGCTGCCTGGGCAACATTGCAGTAGACAAAGGAGAGGAAGGAACTGGATACCAGAGACAATACTGGGAAAGATACACCATGATGGAGTGAATCTGAGAAGGGAAAAAAGATCTAACCAAAATAAAATACGAGTAGTAAGTTAAATTGTAATCTGTTAAATAGATAGTTGATTGACAGTTTGTCACAGTTAAATACAGTAAATAGCTGTTTATTGCTTTGAATTACAGAGGGAGTGGCTTGGAGGGGAAAAGGAAACAAGTATTTTTCACTCTTGCTATTAGTTTTAGTCTTTAGGCTAGAAAGCATTGGGTAAGTTTTTCAAGCTATGTTAATAAATGTTTATATTGTGTTTTTTTTTAGAGAAAAGCACATTTTAGACACCAGATAAATAGCTACCTGTATAACATCTTTCTAAATAGTGTTTTGTAATGGCTAACCATCATGTCATGATACCTTCAATATTTTACGCTTTAGTTTGATACACTTCTTTAAAATTTACTACTAGACTGATTACATGCTGATGTCACTATCATTTGACACCAGTTAAAGTTGTCATCTTTGTACCAGGTTGTTGGTTGTTTCACCCATCATGGCATATGTGCATTTACAAAAGGATGTTTGAGAGTGAAAACAAAACTTTGACAAGGGAAGGTGTTGCTCAATTTCTGGAGATTTATGAAACAAAACGTCTTCCAAATTCACCAGGATTTTCAGAGGTAAGAGCATTCCCCTAACCAACCTCCCTCCCAACTATTTTCCAGGATAAATAGATATTTTAACCTGAAACATTTCCTAAATTGATTACTTAAATCATGAGTTGTTGGTAGACAAATTCTATAAAACCATATCAAATTTAGCTATGTCAATAGTAATGACATTATTTAGAAGTGATCTCAGGGCTAAGATTACGTTGGTCAAAGAAAGAGTGCCTATTGCAGTGTTCCTTGTCATTTAGCCACAAATCCTTATTTCAGGGACCAGTGCAGTCTAACCTTAATTAGTTGAATCCCAGTTAACTGGGACTCTTTTTATATGAAGGTTGGCTAAGATCTCTTTCTCCCTGAGGGTTGCTGATGTTCCAGTTCTGTAGAGCTCCTCAGCTTTTTCAGAACTGGAGCTGTTGAGCACCTCAGTTCAGCAGAACCATCTGGCCACAAAGGAGATTACTGAGGAGGTTTTGAAGTCCATGCTCAGCGTTTCACTACTCTAAGGACAGACTTTGAAGCCTGATGGTTATCCCCCCTTATTGTGGGAAGGTTCCGATATCCCTAGAGACTGTTGAATAATCATTTTTTTACTGTATCTTTTATAATAAATTATGAAAAAAGTCCCTTACTATATAATAAAGAAATATTATAGGTGTTAAAACTACACTCTGTTTTACTGTTGTAATAGCATATTGCATTTGCATAGATTTAGTAGTTAGCTTACATCTCGCAGGGTATAAATGATCTATTCTGTACTCTGTCCAGCCCCACTTCCAAGAAGTAGCTTGCAGGTAGCTCAAAAGCCAAAATTTCTGTTTTATACAATTAAGGTCAATCTCTCATTAAAGTGACACCAACTTGATTTGTAGTCAGCTTAAAAAAAAGGTTAAAAATAGCTACAATTACAATATATCCCTGAGTACTCCTGTCAGTGTTATGGTTCTAATTTTTTTCTTATTTTGTAAAAAATAATTTTCTTCCTTTTTGTTGAAACAGACCCAAATGGAAAATAGATTGTAGGGGATTGTAGTAGAGGAACTGACTATACACCAAGTGCTGTGAAATGTACAAAGCGAAAAATGTGTTTTTTTTCTTTTTCAGTTATAGTACTCTTTAAGTTACTTATGAATAGTGTCCTACCAAATTCATGGTCCATTTTCGCCAATTTCACGGTCATAGGATTTAAAAAATAATAAATGTCATGGTTTCAGATATTTAAATCTGAAATGTCACGGTATAGTAACCATGGGGGGTCCCAACCCAAAAGGGGGTTGGTTTTGTGTGTGTGTGTGTGTGTGTGTGTGTGTGTGTGTGTGTGGCAAGGCTATGGTAGGGGTGTTGTGGAATTACCACCCTTACTTCTGTGCTGCTGCCTTAAGAGCTGGGCAGACGGAGGGCGGCTGCTGGCCAGGCGCCCCGCTCTAAAGGCAGCGTCACCGCCAGCAGCAGCGCCGAAGTAAAGGACTGCTGCTGGTGGCAGTGCTGCCTGCAGAGCTGGGCTCTCAGCCAGCAACCGCTGCTCTCCAGCCGCCCAACTCTGTTAAATCCGGTCTTCCCTACAATAGCCAGATTTCACGGGGGAGATCAGATTTCACAGCCCGTGACGCATTTTTCATGGCTGTGGATTTGGTAGGGCCCTACTTATGAACAGTAGTGGGGAACAGGTGGTTTTTTTTTTTTAAAGTTGACTGTTTTTACTTAACATTTTTACTGGTGATCAGTGAAGACTCATTCTCTTCCTCCTTTCAGCTTCCATGTGCAACTAATATTAATGCCTTTCTTGTTCCTCGAATCAGGTTACATCCTCTCCTCAGTAGCCCAACTTCTATACCAAATAGGCAAACCACCGCTCTTTTAGTGTTGTTGTTCTAGCAAAAATGACTGACTCTACAAAGCTCATTGCTTAATCCCCTGCTGCTGTAGGTTAGTAATAAGTTTCTCTCGTTAGTAGGAACCCTTCCTCTATCTTGTTTATCACAAGTAAAATAAATCTAGTTAGTGCGTGTATAAAATTTAATGATTGGTTTTAATGTAAATTTAATTTTTCTCTCTCCAGTTTATTATTGGACCATTAATGGATGCACTTTCAGAAAGTTCTCTCTATGGCAGGTAAACCATTGATTATTTAGTTTAGTAATTATTGAGCAATGGGCCGTTACATTTGATGGGAGATATCAGTTGATATCAGTTTAAACATGTCAGTCATGTATTTGACATAATTTTGTAGACTTTCAAAAGGCCTTTGACAAAAAGGTGCTAAAGAAACTTACTTTGTCATGGGTGAGAGGCAAAAAATTGTCATCGATCAAAAACTGGCTAAGAGACAGGAACAAAGCGTATGAATAAATGGTCAGTTTTCATCCTATGCAGAAGTTTAATAGTGGGATGCCTCAAGGTTCTTTATTAAGTCTGATATTGTTTACTGTATTTATTAATGGTCTGGAAAGGGGGCTGAGCAAGCAGTCAGGTAGCAAAATTTACAGAAGACAGAAAGTTATTTAGCTTAATCAAATCTAGAGAAGGCCTGGAGGAAATGCAGAAGGAATGGATCTAGATGAATGGACAACATGTCAAGTGAAATTCAGTGTTCATAAATGCAAAGTGATACACACTCAAGGGGAAAAAATAATTAACGATACATCTCATAGGATTCTAAACGAACTGTATCAACTCAGGAAAAAAAGGTTGGTGTTACCGTGGACAGCTCAGTGAAGACTTTGGCTTGGTGTGTAGCTGTGGTCTAAAAAGTAAAGAGTGTTAGAATGCATAAGGAACAAATGGGGAATAATATGAAAAACCATAATAATACCATTATATAAATAACTGGTACATCCTCATTGGGAATCAGGGTGGTCAGAACTACACACTATTTCAGAAAGGATACAGCAGAAGTAGAGGTTTCAGAGAGGGCGATAAAAAGGGCATTGAAAAATTCTAATGTGAAGAGAGATTGAAAAGATTGGGGTTGTTTATTTTAGAAAGGAGAAATATAAGCATGAACATGATAAAAGTAGTGAAGATAGGGTGTTTCTGTTCTCTGTGTCTCATAGCACAATGAAGTCAAAAGGTGGCAAATTCAAAACTGATAAAATTTCTGTGTAACTAGATTTTGGAATGTTTTGTTACAGGATATCTTGGAGGGTAAGAATCTATTGTGACCTCTTTTGTTCAATGTGTGTATGAGGCTGCTAGAATGGATGGTGAGGAGAAATGGGTTGTAGTGCACTCGGTATGCAGATGATATCCACCTCTAGGTTTCTATCACATCCTACCCAGCCAGAACAGCGGAATTAATTATCCAATGCCCTAGATGAACCTGGAGTTTGGATAAGTATTAGTTGACTATTCAAACTCAAACCAGAATAGACATAGGATGTCTACACTAGAAACGTTACAGTGGCACAGCTTCCGTTGGCCTACCTGTGTCTACACTGGGACTTAATTACAGCTTAATTACATAGTACAGGGTATCAGAGTAGCAGCCGTGTTAGTCTGTATCCGCAAAAAGAACAGGAGTACTTGTGGCACCTTAGAGACTTAGAACAACGTTTCCTTAGCTCTCGTCCCCTAACGCCCCTACTCTACTTGCGCTACATTGATGACATCTTCATCATCTGGACCCATGGAAAAGAAGCCCTTGAGGAATTCCACCATGATTTCAATAATTTCCATCCCACCATCAACCTCAGCCTAGATCAATCCACACAAGCGGTCCATTTCCTGGACACTACTGTACTAATAAGCGATGGTCACATAAATACCACCCTATACCGGAAACCTACTGACCGCTACACTTACCTACATGCCTCCAGCTTCCATCCAGGACACACCACACGATCCATTGTCTACAGCCAAGCTCTAAGATATAACCGCATTTGCTCCAATCCCTCAGATAGAGACAAGCACCTACAAGATCTCTATCAAGCATTCTTAAAACTACAATACCCACCTGCTGAAGTGAAAAAACAGATTGACAGAGCCAGACGAGTACCCAGAAGTCACCTCCTACAAGACAGGGCCAACAAAGAAAATAACAGAACACCACTAGCTGTCACCTTCAGCCCCCAACTAAAACCTCTCCAGCGCATCATCAGAGATCTACAACCTATCCTGAAAGATGATCCTTTACTCTCACAGATCTTGGGAGACAGACCTGTCCTCGCTTACAGACAACCCCCCAACCTAAAGCAAATACTCACCAGCAACCACACATCACTGAACAAAAACACTGACCCAGGAACCTATCCTTGTAACAAAGCCCGATGCCAACTCTGTCCACATATCTATTCAAGTGACATCATCATAGGGCCTAATCACATCAGCCATACCATCAGGGGCTCGTACCATCTACCAATGTGATATATGCCATCATGTGCCAGCAATGCCCCTCTGCCATGTACATTGGCCAAACCGGACAGTCTCTACGCAAAAGAATTAATGGACACAAATCTGACATCAGGAATCATAATACTCAAAAACCAGTGGGAGAACACTTGAACCTGTCTGGCCATTCTATGACAGACCTGCGGGTGGCTATCTTAAAACAGAAAAACTTCAAAAACAGACTCCGAGAGACTGCTGAGCTGGAATTGATATGCAAACTAGACACAATCAACTCAGGGCTAAACAGGGATTGGGAATGGCTGAGCCATTACAAACATTGAATCTATCTCCCCTTGTAAGTATTCTCACACTTGCTTCTTATCAAACTGTCTGTACTTGGCTACCTTGATTATCACTTCAAAAGTTTTTTTTCTCTTACTTAATTGGCCTCTCAGAGTTGGTAAGACAACTCCCACCTGTTCATGCTCTCTGTATGTGTGTATATATATCTCCTCAATATATGTTTCACTCTATATGCATCCGAAGAAGTGGGTTGTAGCCCACGAAAGCTTATGCTCTAATAAATTTATTAGTCTCTAAGGTGCCACAAGTACTCCTGTTCTTAGTACAGGGTATGAAATTTTTCACAGCCCTAAGCAATGTAGTTAAGCCACCCTAACTCCGTAGTGCAGACTAGCTCTGAGATAGCGTTTGTGGGTTGGGGAGAGCAGCTGGAAGAGTTGGTAGAACTTACATCTGTGCCCCTCATAAAGAGCATGCAGCCACCATTTGTGTTTAAAAAAAAAAAAAAAAAGTTTAGTTTGGGGGTAGCATTGGATCCTGGGCTGCTCCTGGATGCCCAGGTTGGGGCTGAGGCCAAGAGTGTTTTTCTGTACCTGGCAAGAAGAGTGTGACCGTTTCTCTCTTCTGTGGACCTTGCCACAAAAATCTGTGCCTTTGTCACTTCAAGATTAGATTGCTGTAATGTGTCATACATGGGGCTGTATTGGGAATATTCAGAAGATGAAGGTAGTGCAAAATGCTGTAGCCTGCTTATTAAGTGGAGTTGCATGTTGGGAGCACGTTATCTCCATAATCCGCTGACTTTCAGTATGTTTCTGGGTAGAATTCAAAGTGTTGTTTTTAACCCATAAAGTCTAAATGGTTTGGAACCTGATTACCCGAGAGCTTGCCTCTCTTCTTACGATCTTCTGCCACAGCTGAGATCAACAGAGGCATTCTATCTGGAATCTCCCTCAATATAAATAAGAGGGAACTGCTGGCAGTGCTTTCTATGTGAAAGATCCTCAGTTTTGGAACTTGCTTCCCCCTCCCCCCTTAGTCTGCCAGAGGTAGGATTTGTTTGCCTTCTGAGCACTCTGCAAAACCCATCTTGTTCCCCTCTTTGTCAAGGCTGTTCAGGGTGGGGGTTGAGCTGGAAATATTTATGGGCAGTCCTTTGTCTGTATTTTTCTTAGTGAGACGAGATGGATGAGGTAATATGTTTTATGGTCTCTCTCACCAACAGAAGTTGGTCCAATAAAGATATCACTTCACCCACCTTGTCTCTCTAATATCCTGGGATCAACATGGCTGTAACAACTGTGTATATTTTTCTTGTAATTTTTAACTTGTGGGATAGGCACTCGGAGCACTGGATGAGTGGATATAGGCGTATTTTAAAAAGGTAGAGAAATAGACAGAGATTGGACATTTATATGGATACCAAGAATATCCAGAATTATAAATAGCTAATGCTGATACATTTTGAAAAGGATATAAAACTTCATGTTTCAGGTCTTAAGATGATTAAGATGAAACCTTCATTGCGATTACATTATCCCACATCTGGTACTGCAGGGTTTCTTGCATCTTTCTGGGAATCATCCGATGCTGTCAGAGATAGGAGACTGGACTAGATGGACCACAGTTATGATTCAGCATGGCAATTGCTGTATTTCAGTTTCAATATTTACATTTTCAATACCCTTTAAAAGTATCAAAAGCACTTAAAAAAAACCCAAACAATTCTTCATATTGAAACACTTTACTTTACTTTGATTGGCTGTTTGCATTCTAATGAGTTAGACAATTAGGTAATATTTTTGATTAATTTGTTTTATAAGGGGCTTTGACGTCCCTCCTTATAAAGTGCATATTGTTAATTTTGTTTTTAACCAAACAGGTCACCAGGCCAGTTGATAGGAGCTTGTCCTCCTTTAGGGATGAAGTTACAGAAGTTTTTGTCTACTTACCTCACACTTCTTCCAGAAGAAGAAAGAAGTATGTTTTAATTAATTTTTTCTTTTGAAAGATAAGGGAAGTAAGGGTCATGGATCCATTTCCAGTATCTAATGTACATGTTTACCAGTGTGTTCTCTCCCTGCTAGTGTACTGCACGAGTCATAGACTGAATCTCCTTAGTCTGTCTATCTCTGGTTTTTAAAATGTTTTCATACAAAAATTTCTTCTTCTTTGAGTATGTGTCAATGTGGATCCCACTGTAGGTGCACGTGTGCCCAGTGCACATGAGACCTCAAATTTTTGAGCAGGTGTATCTGTTGGAACTGTGCATGTGCCCTGTGCTTCCTTGTACTCCCATCTGAGGGCATCAAAGGAAGAACAGTTGCAATGTCTCTTCAGTTCTCTTTTATTATCTGTGCCAGCAAGACAGAGCCGGAAGAGTGTCTAACTTGCTAGTTTGTAGCTCAGACTAACTTCTTCAGAACCATTTCTTATCTCCTGTTTTCATCTGCCATGATCTGAGCTGACCCGCCTGGACCAAATTTTGCTAGTCAGACCCTATATGCCCCTTCTCTGTACATCCCCCCCCCCCCCCGCCCACATCTAACAGGGTTCATCAACATCAGGGCCGGCTCCAGGCACCAGCCCAGCAAGCAGGTGCTTGGGGCGGCCAACGGAGAGGGGCGGCACGTCCGGCTCTTCGGCGGCGGGTCCCTCTCGGAGCAAAGGGCCCGCCGCCAAATTGCCGCCGAAGACTGAAGCGGCGGGTAGAGCTGATCGTGATCGTCGTTTTTTTTGGGTTTTTTTGCGCTGCTTGGGGCAGCAAAAACCCTGGAGCCGGCCCTGATCAACATGTTGTTGCACTTGAAACCTGCAGGCTTCAAGCCCTGTCCATCCTGCAATGGACTATTCCCTCAGAAGGATGGATACAGTAGGTATCTCTGTTCCCTGGGCGAATTGCACATTCTAAACAGATGATCAATATGGGTGTGCAAGTCGCACAAGACAAGACTGAAATTCCACCTTTTGGAACAGTTCATAAATGAAACAAGTTCCAAAATCCTACTAATGAACAAACCAGTGTTATCAAGTGACCCATTGAGCAGTCAGCATCGCTTAAGACTGGGGCAAAAAAGACAGTGCCAAGGAAAGACGCCGACCTCAACAAGAATGTCAAATCAGGCACCAACAACTCCCATGTTGAAGTCAGGCACCGAAAGGATCTGGGGGTAATAGTGGATCATAAATTGAATGTTCATCTACAGTGTAATGCTGTTGCATAAAAGGCAAATGTCACTTTCTGATGTATTAAAGTGTCATATGTAAGAGATGGGAGGTAATTGTTCTGCTGTAATGGCACTGGTGAGGACTCAGCTAGATTAAAGATGTGGACAAATTGGAGAGAGTCCAGAGAAGAGCAACAAAAATAAGTGGTTAAGAAAACATGACCTATGAGGAAAGGTTGAAAGAATTGGGCATGTTTACTCTTTAGAAGATAAGTCTGTGGGAGGATGTAATGATCTTCAAATATATAAAAGTTTGTTATAAAGAGGATGGTGATCAATAGTTTTCCATGTCTATTGAGGGTAGGACAAGAAGTAATTGTCTTAGTCTGTAGCAAGGGAGATTTAGGTTAGATAATAGGAAAATTTTTTTAACTATAAGGGTAGTTGTGGAATCCTAATCACTGGAAATTTTTAGGAACTGGTTAGAAAAACATCTGTCACGGATGATCTAGGTATACTTAGGGTACATCAACACTAAAAACTTAAGTCAACCTATATTAGATCGACTTACAGCCATTGGAGTAATTACTGTGGTGGTTCATGTCCACACTACCCTCCTTTGATCAGTGGTGTGCGTCCTCACCAGGAGCGCTTCCACTGACCTAAGAGGGGCAGCGTAGGGAGCTGAGAGCCCAGTCTCTCAGCTCTGCTCGCAGCTCCTTGCCAGGAGCCTGGCTGCTTCATGGGCTCTCAGCTCCCTGTTCCACACTGGCTCTTCCCGTCCCCTCCTCCCCCCGACTCTCAGTTCTCTGCTGGGAGCACAGCTGCCTCCTGGGCTCCTGGCTGGCTGCTACCCCCGCTGGGAGATTTCACTCTCTCCAGTCGATGGCAAACAATGTAAAGTCAAACCCAACAATGATTATACATGTGTGTCTGGGGCTCAGAGGCCATATGTCACTGTGTATGTATGCTGCTTGCCAGACTTCACCTGCAGCCCATGCAGCTACGTTAAGGTCCATGTATGCCCTGTCCAGATACCACAGGTACCAAAGGGTCACAGTAGCACCCCCAGCCCTGCTAGATACTATTTGAGGACTGAATCATAGAATATCAGGGTTGGACGGGACCTCAGGAGGTCATCTAGCCCAACCCCCTGCTCAAAGCAGGACCAATCCCCAACTAAATCATCCCAGCCAGGGCTTTGTCAAGCCTGACCTTAAAAAACCTCTAAGGAAGGAGATTCCACCACCTCCCTAGGTAACTCATTCCAGTGCTTCACCACCCTCCTAGTGGAAAAAGTTTTTCCTAATATCCAACCTAAACCTCCCACATTGCAACTTGAGACCATTACTCCTTATTCTGTCATCTGCTACCACCGAGAACAGTCTAGATCCATCCTCTTTGGGAACCCTCTTTAGGTAGTTGAAAGCAGCTATCAAATCCCCCCTCATTCTTCTCTTCTGCAGACTAAATAATCCCAGTTCCCTCAGCCTCTCCTCATAAGTCATGTGCTCCAGCCCCCTAATCATTTTTGTTGCCCTCCGCTGGACTCTTTCCAATTTTTTCACATCCTTCTTGTAGTGTGGGGCCCAAAACTGGGCACAGTACTCCAGATGAGGCCTCACTGATGCCGAATAGAGGGGAATGGACCCAGTGTGTGTCTAAAAAAGGGGTCATTCCCTGTCCCCTCCCAACTACGACTGTTATCACAGATGCTTCAGGGACAGGTTGGGGTGCCTACCTGAACCAACTACAGCATATCAAGGAACATGCCACCAGAGCATAGCCTGCAGCTATTGACTGCCTCAGAAACCTTCCAATCCCTTAAAATTGTAAGGCAGTAATGTGGAGTAACCCATTGACTTCCATGAAATATTATGCCTTTGCTTGTCAACCAGGGCAGACACCAAATTTGGAAGAGCAGTAGTACTTCTTTGAGTGACTGCACATATCCATTCCACTGTAGGTGAGTGCATGCCCAATGCATGGTTGCTGGAGATTTTTTTCCCCTCAGCAGTACCTATTAGGGTGGCTTGAGCATCCAATGCTGCTGTGTGCAGGTATAAAGGGTGGAGGTGCCCTTGGCCCCTCTCAGTTCCTTATTACCAACCATGATGGTTGTTGCAGTAGTAAGGCTGCAGTCATTCCAAATTCTTCTCTCACTCTTTGTAAAATATACCCAGTTTTGCTTAGCGTAGTTTCATAGAGTTTAGGGAATCTGTAGTTAAAATAATTATCTAGTTATAAGTTTCAGATTTAGGTCTTAGACTGCCGGGTTCAGCTTTCGGTACTGGGAACAGTACTGGAACTGTACCTCAATTTCCGGGATTAAATCATGTTGTTCATTCAGCAAACCAATGCCGGTGAGCGACCTGCACCCCAGCTGCCTTAATCACTTGGGGTAGTCGCATGTTAGTGACAAATGTCACATTTACAAAGGTTATAAGCCTTGCTCAAAAAAGGACAGAGCGGCCAAGCTTAAGTGTATTCTTGTGGAGGTGGCACTCATCCTCTCTTGGAGCCGTCAGTTTGGAATGGGCACTGGGCATGTCAATATTGGTCCACAGTGCTCCTCCTGTATTGTCTGAGTCCAGAGCTTGATCACTGTCATTGGTGCCATGGAAGAGGCACAAGACCTCCAGAAATTCAGTACCTCTGTAAGCAAGACACCAGAAGTAATTCTTCCGTTCTACTCCACGCTGATTAGGCCTCAAATGGAGTATTGTGTGCAGTTCTGGGCACCACATTTCAGGAAAGATGTGGACAAATTGGAGAAAGTCCAGAGAAGAGCAACAAACATTATTAAAGGTTTAGAAAACATGACCTATGAGGGAAAATTGAAAAAATTGGGTTTGTTTAAACTGGAGAAGAGAAGACTGAGGGGGGACATAATAGTTTTCAAGTACATAAAAGGTTGTTACAAGGAGGAGGGTGAAAAATTGTTCTCCTTAACCTCTGAGAATAGGGCAAGAAGCAATGGGCTTAAATTGCAGCAAGGGCGGTTTAGGCTGGACATTAGGAAAAACTCCCTAACTGTCAGGGTGATTAAGCCATGGAATAAATTGCCCAGGGAGGTTGTGGAATCTCCATCATTGGAGATTTTTAAGATCAGGTTAGACAAACATCTATCAGGGATTGTCTAGATCAGTGGTTCTCAAACTTTTCTTTTTGCGGATCACTTGAAAATTGCTGACGGTCTTGGCAGACCACTTAATGATTTTTCCAAATGTTGTTTGTACCGTTAGCTAGCTATTGTAAAGTGCTTTGGATAAAAGCGCGCTCTCGCTCTCTCTAAACTTAATCATTAACCTTTTTTTGTTCTACAAATAAAAGCACACAACTCATATTTTAATATCAGTAGTCTTACCTTTCTAATGTGATGGATGTTCCCTCCCCCCCTGCTGCGGCAGCCCCCAAGCTGGGGCTGGGAAGGAGGGGGGTGTCTCTCCCCCACCAAAGCAGCCACAGAGCTGAGGCTGGGAAGGAGGGCCCTCTTTCCCCAGCAGCCGCAGCCCTGGAGCTGGGAAAAGTCGCCTCTTTCTCTGGCTGCCACAGCCCTGCACGTCCCAAATTCCCCCCACCCCCTCTTCTGACCCCACTGCCCCCTCCCACCTACCGAGTATTCCCCCCCAAGGCCACCACCTCACCTTACATGTGCGTTTTCTCCAGGGTCCAGGCACCTAATTAGGTGGGTGGCCCTTCATTCTCTTGTGTCTGACTGCGCACCTTAGAGGGAACTATCCGCAGACCACATGAATGGAGCTTGCGGACCACAGTTTGAGAACCTCTAGTCTAGATAATACTTAGTCCTGCCATGAAAGCAGGGAACTGGACTAGATGACCTCTTGAGGTCCCCTTCCAGTTCTGTGATTTATAAAAATATTCAGCACCCAGCAATTACCATTGAGAACAATAGAGAAATAACTTTCCCCTCCCTCTCAGTGATGGAATTTTGGTTCTAAGTGTCTGATCTGTGTACACATCATATGGTTATTTCTCAGCTATGCAGCATATGATTCTGGATTACAGTCTTAGTGGTCAATCATAATGCAGGGATTTGTATAGTTGCTGTAGAGTTATTTTTCAGTGACGGTACTTCAAACATACAATTCTGTCTGTGATAATCCTTTTGCTCTGTGTGGTTTTGGGTTCAGAATTTTCAAGCTGTTTTCCAGCAATGCAGACAGCGCTTCAGCCTCTTGCTTCCTTTAGCAGGAACCAAAAACGTCAGAAGTTTACAAGAAAGAGAAGGGCGAAATAAATCAAAAGCAAACAAAAGAAAAAATACTTTAAAAATGCTTAAGAGCCCATTGACTAACTTTCCTCCTCTTGAGCTCTGTTCCAGCCCTCCATTTTTATGATTTTATGATTCATGCTCAGTCTTTCTATTGAAGTAATTGGCAAATACTTTCAGTGACTTCAAGATAATTTTCACTGATTTCAGTGGGATGGGCCCCAATCTCGCTCTTGGATCACACAGATCACATTTCAAAATCAGAACCTAGGATTGAGCCATTTCTCTTACTCCAAGTCCCTTCCTACAGTCCATTGGGTCTCGTCTCCACAATAAGCGTTGTATATTAGAGTTTTTAGTTTCTCTTGTTTGCTTGCACATGGTAAATCTTCTTTCCCAATTCAGTTTTGAAACAGTGTTGCAAATGTATGGCATATTTTCAGGAGAAGGAGGAGCCTTGCTGACCTGTTGGGAGGAAAAAGGAGGTAGGGAAAGGAGATAAGAGGGAGGAAAGAAGGGAAATGAAGAAGAAAAAGGGGGGAGGTAGGAGGAAGGGCCAAAGTGTAGTATTTTTAGAAAGCAATTTATCTTTCAGCGGTTAAGCGGTCCATTTTGTTTTCTCTAGTTTTTATTCTTTCATTTAAAAAAATTAAATATTGAATTTCCTGTAGCACAGTAACATAGTTAAAAGAGAAGTAATGGACAGTCAGTAAGCTTTTCTAGGAAGTTGTATTTCAGTAACTGTAAATGGAAAAGTATTTATTTTGAATAAAGTATCTTACACTTGTGCTTCTGCAGTTCACAGTTTTCCTGAAAAGCTACTGTCCTTTCTGTGGAAGTGCTTGTAGCACTGCATAATCAATTAAAATATACAACTGAAAACCATTATAAAATAGATAATTTAAAACCAAATTAAATATTAAAATTGAAACCAAATAGTAGTAGACAATCCTTGCTATTTAAGAGCTTGATTTTGGCTTTCTTGCTCAAGCAATGTAAAACTGACCCTGAATCTTCATCATGAAAGCACCCACTCTTTCCCTCTCTCTGCACCTACGTCATTTAAATGGTTTCAAAAGAACAAGAAATGGATTCTGGCTATACGAAACGGAATTTTTCATTGAAAATGTTACTTTATCAGTTAAGATATTCTTTCAAAATACAGTAGTTTCCACATTGTAGTAGTTCAGCTGACCTACAAAATATTTTTTTTTCTGGTTGCTCTTATTTAAAGGTAGTTTCCTGTTAAAGTTTATTCAGAAGATGACAAGTAGGCACTGGTGTGCTGTTCCCATTTTGTTTCTGTCTATGGCACTGGCATGCATCCCATCATGTAAAGCATTGGGTACAGAAGGACTTCATGCTCTAAGGTAACACACTTCAGCGGTTTTATGTCCCTTACTTATGCACAGGTTCTGGGAGACTAATAAAACAATTCTGGGGAATGCACAGCAGAGTCTGACTCTTTTGGGGAAAATTTAAATAATCAAATGTAGTAGAAAGACTGAAAGCCTAAACTTGTAAAGAAACTTTTTTCTCTATCCTTCCCCACTCTCTTCAACTATGGTCCAATAGAAAAGCTTTCACTTTTCACAAAGCGATCACTCTATATCTGTCCTATCAGTCCTTATCCGCAAAGGAAACCTGTACAACACTTTCAAAAGATGAGCCTGGGAGCTTAAATTCATAGCTGTGCTAGACACTAAAAATCATGGACTGAATAGAAACACTGGATTTATACCTTATTACAACAATCTGAACCCACTGACAACCTCTCCCAGCTGCTGCTCCCTCCACTCTTCCTTTCCTCCCTGTGTCTGGAGAGGTGTTTAATGGGGCACTTCACCTTGAATGGTCCCTTGAAATATGTGTTAACTGCTTATGCCACACAGTCAGTTCAAATCTTGTATTTAGCAGTGACACTTTGAGTTAGGCCATGTCTACACTTACAAGCTTACAGTGGCACAGCTGTACCAACACATACGATTGCTCAAGTAGCTGCATTACACTGATGGGAGAGAGCTCTCCCGTCGACATAATAAAACCAGCTCAACCAATGGCGGTAGCTATGTTGACGGGAGAGTGTGTTGACTGGTGTTTATGCTGGCAAAACTATGTCGCTTGAGGTGGGTGTTTTTTCCCCCACACCCCTGTTTTGCGGACAGTGCTAGTGTTGACATGCCTTAGTTTCCCAGTCCTGAAGAAGAGCTCTGTGAAAGCTCTAAAGCTTCTCTCTTACCAACAGAAGTTGGTACAATAAAAGATATTACCTCATCCACCTGGTCTCTCTAATATCCTGGGAGCAACATGGGTATGACTACACGGCATACTTACTAATACAAATTTTCGTGTTCTTCAGAGGCTTTGACTCAGTAAAGAGACATCTTTGTTAAGCAAGCACTTTTGCATATTCCTAGTATCTAAGAATATAAGTACAGTAGTAAATTAAGCAGCATTAAACAGGTGTAGTCAATAGCATTCTGATTAAAGAACACATTTAAAGTGAATGTGAGGGACAAATTGTGAACCTTGTGGCAAATTTTTCTCCCATGTTGGTCTTGGTTGGTTCCCTCATGGATATGCCAAGCTCTAGTGGCAGAAAGTCTGCCTTGAGAGGTATTGGCAGCAAGCACAACCCTTTTGTAAGCCCTGACACTGTACCGTTTTTGCATCTAATTACCACAACCCACATAGCACATGACGCTGGCTGGGAAGGAGTTATGGTCAGGGCACAAAAATGATGTGCTAATTCAGTGTATTTCCTGGCTTCCTTTGCCACTAAGGATCTTGTGGAGAACCCTCTGGAATGTAAAGCTACTCTCCTCTGGTGAACTTCCAAGTGAAAACAATATTTCAAATGGTGCTTTACCCTCTTTTAGGGGTGAATTCCCCAATTTGGGTAAAGCTATCTCCGCTTGCTTAGAGGCGATACAGTTTGCACTCCAATTCTTACCCATCCAGTGGGGGTGAATTAACTCAGACTGCAATTTTTAGTTTTTAGGGAAAACTGTATTTAATTGGAGAGCTCTTCAGTGGGTGATAGTGCCTATAACCTGTGTGTTTAACATTAGAAGGTTCTTTTGCAGTACTCATGACAATATTACATAATCATTAATTATGGAGGCATTGGTCATGAATGTATAGTTAAGGTTAAATCAGTTTTCATTTCAACAGGCACTTTAAACTTTTATTAACATGGCCAAAACCTAGATTGTAAATTTTGAGTACAATTTGCATTTTTCATGTTGGTTTGAAAATTGGGTTGATTCAGAGAGAATAATAATTCCAAAATAATCCCCTTTTTGAAGTTTTTTCAATGGATTGTTTCATCTTTCTGGGATTCTCTTTTGCAGGACATCTAAGACATTGGGCTCTTTGCTTTGCTCCATGTGCTGCTCCGTATGTGCTGATTAATACAATATCAATTACAAATACATAGTGCTTGTGTTTGTCATGACTTTTCACTTTTTCCTCCATAAATGGAAAAAGAAATGCACCAGGATGAACCCACCATATTTAGCACTGATGATGTAATACTTCCATTCTGATGAAATCGTCTGTGGATGGGTGAGAGAGACAGAGAAAGGTCAATCAGCCTATCCACCCACCAAATACCCTTTTAACCGAGGAGAAATTCTGTGAGCTGGGCAAGAGACAACCATGAGCCTCATGCAGGTCCCCACTCTTACTGTTGACCAAAGGCATGAATGTGGATCCTAGAATGTAGACGATTAAGAGCTGCCACTGCATTAGGCAAACAAGTTAATAGCAGGAATAGGATTCTAATGTGGTAGACCCAGATTTTAGCTATTTGGCTGCATTGCCTTTCGGATAGGATAATCAAATCATTCAGTCTCTAACTGCTCAGCTTCATGCTTCTCCCAGAGTCAGCAATAGAACCCTGGATTCTTCAAATAGTGTCTCTAAGGGTGCTCCACTTCAGGTGTGCGTGTGCCACACAAGCCCTTGATCTGAGATTTTCAGTTAGCAGTGTCCATTTGGCCTGCATGTGTGCCCTATGCCTCCTTGTGCCAGATACCGAGGCTATATAGGAGTATGTGGGCAAACCACCCTCAGTTCCTTCTCAACTACTCTCGCCTGAGATGGAGCCCTAGTATGTCCGCCTTGAGCATGCATTGATTTTTCTAATATTTCTATAGTGGGTAAAATAGTTTTTATAGTTAGTTGTTAGAATAGTTATAGTTAGTTAGATAAGTAGTGAGAGGATTGTTTTACTCCTCTTTCCCCTCAGAGAGAGGTTTTTTGGTTTGTTTGTTTTTTTTGTACCAGGGAATGCCTGGCTCTCCAGGTTTCAGATGATGTCTCTCCTGTACTTGTGAGTGATGGTCTTAAAGTGTTTCCATTGCTTGGGGGAGTTCCACGTCTCCCGGTAGTTTAACTTCTGCCTGGCCCTCAAGTCCAGGGCAAGGAAAAACAGGGAGATTAAAAGCAGACTCCTAATGAAGGATCACTTCCTTTGGCCAGCTTCTGAGTTAGGTCGTGAGCCACCCCCCAACTCCTCCGTGCCCTTCCCCCCCCAGATGGGGAAGGCGTCCAAAAAGAGTGGGCTTAAGGAGCCAGCTCCAAAAAGTCCAGGTGAGATCCACAATATCTGAAGCTTCAGCCTCTTGACTTGGTACCATTGAGTTGAAGGACTCCTCCTCCAGTACTAGTGGGACCGTAAAGTCCCAGAGCATGAAGGAGAGACATGGCTCCAGTAGGGCCTGGGTACCTTCTATCAGCAAGGAGGGGAAGCATAGACACTTGGGACTGGCACCACCAAGTTCAGCATAGCTGTCGGAACCCATGCATGTGGCATCCTCAGCTAGACACCATCGGCATCTACTTCAGTACATCAGTCATCAGCTTCAGTGACTGTGGCCTTGAATACTGCGTCAGTACTAAGGACTTCTCAATAACAGATGAACCGGAGTCCCTGCTCCTGGTGGGTACTGAGAATCTCTCGGTACTAAGATCCCGATCTCTAGACTACTGTCAGCTGGACCACAGGACTCTACCGTTTTCTACATGTGCTCCTCCATTGGATGAGATGGAGGAGAATGAAAGTGACTTCCAGTCAGTCTCCTCTATTTCTGTTCATGGTTCTCTAACATGTTCCTTCAGAAACACGTTATTTGAAAGTCATAGGGAAGATTGGACTCATTATTGAGGGTGGTGGAACCAACCCTGCATGCCATCCCCACTTCTGTACTACAGGCCCTGCCAATGACCATACTGGGACCCCTGGGTTGCCCATCAACAACAGTTTTCCAGATTGCTGGTTTCCAGTTCACTCGGCCCCTGTCCCTGGCAACTGGGCCAGGGTGGGGGGCAGCCCGCTGCCGCCATCACCTCCCCAGCCAGGCTCTCTCTCAGGCAGCTGCTGCTCTGCACAGAGCAGTGACCTAGAGCAGCCGGCGTGAGAAGTGGCTGGTCCTGCCCCTTCTGCTCCCTGCCCGGGCCCGGCTGTCAGGGACAGGGGCTGAGCATGCCAGGGGGCAGGTGCAGTGGAGGACAGAGCCCTCTCCTCGCACCCCGGCAGGCCAAGCAGAAATCTGGGGGTGGGGCACTTAACCCCGCATGCTCCCCTACGTATCAACTATGAGGAACTGTCTTCAGTAGCTGGGACACATGGCAGCTTGCACCTTTGTGAATGATCACACAAAGCTGTGTCTCCACTGCCTCCAGGGTTGGCTCAGAATGACCTGTTCTCCAGTCAGACACACCTTGGGCAGACAGGTGACAGTTCCTTTACGATGTGAGGAACTCCTTAGACTATGGGAGGATCAACTCAATGTCTGTGCAGGCATTCCTTTCTGTAGTGCAGCCCCATCAGTGACTTTATCACTATTGGGATGGGGAGCCCATCTCCATACCCTCACGACTCAGGGCAAATGGAGAACTCAAGAAACCAGTCTCCACGTCAATCTGTTGGAGAATAGGACTGTCAGGAATTCTTGCTTTCATTTCCTACCTTTCATCACGGGCAAATCAATCAAGGTCATGCATTCTATATCAACAAGCAAGATCCCCCTCCTTGTGTGCTGAAGCCATGAAATTATGGAATTGGTGCATAGTTCATTAAATCCAAATATCAGTGGTCTACCTCTCAGGTATTCAGACCATCATAGCCAATTTCCTCAGCATACGCTTCTCACAGGATTACGAATGGGATCTAGAACCCAAGTTCTCCACAGCATATTCCAAAAATGGGGACTGCCAGAAGTGGATGTCTTCACCACCTCCAGGAACAGGACATGTCCTCTTTTCTGCTCAAGAGGGGGTCTGGGCCACCAGTCCTTGGGAGATGCCCTTCTTCTATCTTGGAAGAAAGGTCTCTTCTATGCATTTCTCCAATGCTGCTGATACTAAGAGTGATGAACAAGATCAGACAGGGCACAGCCAGAATTATCCTTACAGTGCGACCTGGCCAAGAGATGGTTGGCACCCTTACCTTCTACATGTATGTGTCAGCTCTCATTCAGGCTCCCAACCATTCCTCATTACCTGTCACAGGATGCGGGTTTTGTGCTTCATCCCAACCAGTGGTTCTCCACCTCCGATAGTTCACGTGGTTAGAATCCTCCTGCTCTATGGAAGTACAAGTGTTAGTAGAAAGAGATCAACCTGCACTACTTACCTGCAGAAATAGAAGAGATTCTTCTATTAGTGTTGTTGTCACTCCCTCCTGCCTGACTTGGTGCGACTTTCAGTTATTCTAGATTGTCTTTTGGATGTATGGAAATTTGGGTTATCGGTTCTATTAAGGTCCATTTGACTGCAATATCAGCCGTTCATTCTCTGGTAGATGGTTTCTTCATATTTGCTCATCTGGTTTCGTCTAAGTTTATTAAGGGTCTGAGAAGTGACAACCCGCAGATTAAAGACCCTACCCTGACCTGGGACCTCAACCTGCTACTCAGTTACCTTAGGAGACCACCGTTCAAACCAATGGCAACCTGTTCTCTGTTGCATTTATCTATGAAGACAGCATTTTTAGTAGCCATTACGTTGGCCCGTAGGGTCGGGCAGATTGGAGCCTTGATGGCAGATCCTTCCCCCCCTCCTCCCCTCCGATGTTCTTTAAGGACAAGGTCTCTTTACATTCACACCCTAAATTCTCACCTAAGGTTATATCGGAATTCCACCTTAATCAATCCATTCATCTACCAATGTTATTCCCAAAGCCACATAGTTCTCTACAGGAATCCAGTTTACATACCCTAGATGTTAGAAGGGCATTGATCTTCATCTTAGATAGGGCCAAGCAATTTAGGAAGTCACCTAGGCTCTTCATTTCCTTCTCGGATAGATCTGCATGGTCCTTGAGCTCTACTCAGAGACTGTCAGGATGATATCTAGATGTATTATCACTTGTTATGATGCTGCAGGTGTTCATCCCCTCAAAAGGGTGATAGCACATTCAGCCAGATTGTAGGCACTATCTACGGCATTAACAAAGAATGTACCTGTATCTAAAGTATGCAGGGCCGCTACATGGGCTTCAGTACATATGTTTTTGAAACATTACTCTCTGATCCATGCGGTCAGATCCGATGCGGCACTTGGTTATACAGTACTGTCTTCAGTTCTGGACTGTTTCAAACCTCCCTCTTCCATCTAGGGATATTGCTTGGAAGTAATCTGAAGTGGCGCACCCATAGGGACACTACTCAAAGAAGAAGAGGTTACTCACTTTGTGCAGGAACTGCGGTTATTCAAGATGTGTGTCAAAATACAGATATTTTACATTTCAGTCATTTGTCAGCTCCTCTTCCTTGCTTGATCCTGGAACCTACCCACTGAGGTACACCAACCTTGTATAAAAAGAACTAGGAAACAAACACAAAAAATGTAGTTTAGTGATGGTTAGAGTTGTGTCAGGACACACTCAACCAACTCAAAATCTGAAACACATGAAAATGAAAAACTAAGAGAAAAGTATCTGGCATTCACATTGCCTATAACACTTAATAATACACTCCATCAGTCTGTAAGGCTTTTGCTTTCGTCTCCAACAGATACTGAAAAGCAATGCTCATCCCAACATAATCAACTTTGAATTCTAGCACGAAATCTTATCGATGACCTCAGCAATGTTAAGGGAGTAATTTCCCAAATGCATGGAATGTATGACAGGCAGATGTGCCAATCTGGTGATACAGGAGCATCTGAGATCACTGTTAAGGTTTTGTGATAGAGTGAGAATTTAATGAACTCTGAGTACATACTACTTTTCGATATCTGTTAGAGATGTAAGTGAATGAAAGCCTTCTGAATTGTTGGAGTGTTTTACCAACAGTGTTGTAGGCAATGTGAATGTGACATGGAATAGAGGCCCTTACCTTTTCATTTCCAGGCTTTTCAGATTTTGAGTTGGTGGGTTTTGTCCTTATGCAACCTTAATTGTCACTGAACAAAAGTTTTTTGTGTTTATTTAGAATCATAACCCCACTTGTTTTCGATTGTATGCTCTTCAGAGGAGGAATTATATCATCTTGTATATTTAGAAAGTGCAACGCACATTCTGAGTGCTCCTGCATTCTTAATATATTGATCACTACAGTTAAAATATAGTTGGTAAATATGTATTTTAAGAGCTACTTAATCTGTTTATAATTTAAGGTGCATATTTATCCATTTGCAGAGATGTCCTGCAGTGCACTATGATCACACATCAAATTTTATTGCGGGGAGCTGCTCAGTGTTTTCTCCTCCAAACAGCTATGCATTTGACAGATGTGGTAAGTTCTTCTTTTTTTTCTAGTGTAATGTTTTATTTTTCAGAGATGATAATGCAATATGTAAGTGCTGCCAAATAGAACTTGAGCAGCTGATTTTACTGAATTTGTAGTTTTGGCAATGTCCATTTTAAAAATGTGCTTGAGTGATGTAGGTCTGCATGCTAATACTAATAATTCTTTTAACTTTATTTTTCATATGAAACAACTGGATCCTTTTTATTCAGCATTTCATTTGCAGTACTTTATTGATGATAATATTTGTATTACTGCAATGCCTAGAATCCCTAGTCATGGACCCACCATCCTGTTGTGCTAGGTGCCATATAAACACTTATTTAACAATTAAAATTTAATATTAAAGAGACTTTCAAAATGACATAAAAGATTTTAAAATGATATTTATAATGTTAGCATGATGACTTTATAGTTAGGTTAAAATATCACTTTCATTTTAGAATCTTGAATATAAGTTGTCTAATTCTCAAATGATTTTATGGGACTGAAATTTTTCATGCTCAGTGTTGAATCAGAAGGAAATCCTTCCCCTCTTTCTCCCCTATAACATCACAAGAGTTTGTCTTGGCACTTTTAAGCTATAAAATGTGGTTCAAAAATTTTCAAATGATTTTGATGCTTTGGATAGCTCAGAAAACTTTCTTCTTAAACTTCAAACTTGACCTCAAACAAGGATCATGCTTTTATCTTGATTGATGTAATTCAGTAGAATTCCTGGATAAAAACTATATTTAACTGCAGTTAAGGCTGAATACATATCAGTAATTTAAGGGTAAAGTATTACAGCTATGTTGTAATTGTTGCAAAAAAATAAATAAATAAAAAAAAGGCAATAGAAACCCAGGAAATCCAGAGTTAATGTTACACTTAAAAGAAATCCAAATGTAAGTAGAAATGGCTTCTCTTCACCTTCAAGACTCTGCTCCTGTTCCTTATCTACACTTGTCTCTGATAGCATTATCTTCCTGCCTCTTCCATCAAGCGATGCTAGTCCTGACTGCCTGTTGTTCACCCTCTGATAAATGTATCTCTGCCTTTTTCATTTATACCAGCAATGTGTGTGTGTTCTCCTTGAACAAAGCCCTCTCCTCAGGCCTCATTTCTTTTGTGAAGCCTACAAGACATTGGCTATCTAACAGCGGATAGGCTGATGGTGTAATTGAGTTCAATTTATATGTTTTAATTAAAAAAAAAAGACCCTGATGTATATTAAACCTACATGATATAAATACATACTTTTGATTGTATCCCTCTTTCCCTCCATTCACGTGTGTCTTGCTTTCTTAGATTATAAACTCTTTGGAGTAGGGGATGTCTTCTTGCTAGGACAATGCATAGCACATGGTGAAGACTACTACTAATCAATAATACTAATGCATTGTTGTTTGCTTATCACCTAACAGCTACGGTGGTAGGTTAATAATAATTTCCTGCAAAGTAGCAATTCCCAACCAGTGGTATTTGGAGAACTTACTATCATATAGTTGCTGGCTCTTTTTTTTTTTTTTATCTGCTAAATCTCTTTTAGAATAATCTAAAATTACTTTCTTTCCTAATGTATTTCCACATAAGCAATTGCTGTAGTTGCCATAAGGATGTCATATGATCATCAGTGAGAATGGAGGTGTCTGTGACTGAATGAAAGGGGAGTGCACAGTACTCTTGCTTATGCCTGATAGCCACATGAAAGGTTCTCTTTTGTATTCTCCACCCCATTTTCTTTTGTCTGCTAATACAGCTGCTTACCTTTTCTCTTTGCTGTCTCAGATTTTGCTGTGGCTGACCATGAGCTGACCTGAGCAGGGCTTCCTGTGAAAAGGCAGAAACAGAAGAATTAGTCAGGGGCTTCTACATATCTAAAATTAATATAACTAAGGTTGTCCATTTACACACCCTGCCCCTCACTTAAAAAAAAAAAAAAGCCATCAGTGAATACCTCGCTTCAAGCCATTCATTCGCCTTCAGCATACATCTCTATATGGGTACATCAGACTGTAGGAAAATGAACTGTGTGTGTGTCCTGAAAAAAGGCAAAAATGAATATTTCTGGAAAGTTTATATCCCTGTGGTAATAAATTGGGGGTGGGAGGGAAAAGATGATTTTCTTATTGAAACATTTGCCAGATGAAAGCAAACTCGTCTCAGTTTCACACTAAAATATTACGTGTGTGTGTTTGTTGGGGACTAATGAACCTTAAATGATGTCTTTAGGAGAAAGTGTCACTTCCAGAGATTTCAAGTTTTCTCATGTCTCTCAGACCAGAGGAGTCCTTAAGCAGAGGGACTATACTATGGATGGAGGTGAGAATTGAAACTGCTGCTGGTTTTGTGTTAATCAAAATGTTCTGTAATAGACTGTTCTGATCTATTGGTATTAGTTATAGCTAATGTTTTAATTCTCTAATATATGCATGTGAACTAATTTTCAGTCCCTTTTGCACTGGCACATCTGGCGCTTCTGGCACTGAGTGCTAATTGATTTGTGCTTTGTATCTGTACCTTGTAACATGTAACACTAAAGAGGGGATTAATTTTAACCCTCAACCTGCTATCCAGCAGGTAATTAGTCAGAAGATGTTAATATGTACCTCCATTGTGTGAGACGGTAAGGAAGAAGGGGAAGGTTGTTTTTTTCTTTTCCCCTGCAGAGCACCTGAATTCTGCACAAGAGCAGCTTTCTCCTGAGGGCAGAGCTTCTGTTGCACTTCAAAGCAGCATAAGAGCTGGAGCTGAGCTCGTACCGGACTTGTATGCCCTGCTTTGCCACAGCATTCTCCAGAGAGAGAACATGAGCTAATCTGTAACTTTTGTGTTTAGCCCTATCCTAGTGCAAATCAGAATCAGTTCTTTCATGCACACTTTTGGTGCCCAAATGCTTGTTCTACAAAAGACTTCCAGGCATCCACAGTGCCAGCCTGCTTTCTCCCTTGCCATTCCCTTGGGAGTTAAGGCAACAGTTTGGGGAGCCTGTACTGGTGTCTGTAATCTTTTCCATCAGAGATCTATGCTCACTGCATTAGATCAGTGGTAACTTCATGGAGAGAAAGTGAAGCAGGACTTCTTATGAGATATTCAGAGCCACGAGTTGGGCATCTCCCTCTGCTTTTATTAATGATACAAGATGGATGTAATATCCTTGGCTGAAGCTGCCCTTCAAGCAGTTATTCCTGTATTACATGTTTTTTCTTTTCTTCATTGTAGGTACTTTCCTCCCCCACTTTTCCCCCTACTACTTGCTGTTTTTCAGAAATTACAAAGTTAGCGCCAGGGTGGATTTGATTTAAATAATGATTTAAATCACTAGTCAGGAAGACTCGATTTAATCATGGATTTCTACATAGAAGTGCATTCTTGTTGGTTGTTATAACCTTAATACATATTCTTCACAACTCAGAGATAGATGTAGGTTTTGTTTTTAGAAGGTACACACTATACATTTTTAAAGTGATTTATTTTGAAAACTTTTCAGATGAGTTTTACAGCTATATCAGAAAATGAATGATTGTTTGGTTATTTCATTTACCAAAGGTAATTGAAGCAGATAGTTCACCTCCCAATGACTTCATAAATATCTCCAGTTCAACAGGTTAATCATTAATATTTGGAGGATTTTCTTGCCAGGCAGTATTACCCTGTTTCCCCGAAAATAAGACATCCCCCAAAAATAAGACCTATTTCCAGTTTTGCCTCTCGCTGTAATATAAGACATCCCCCGAAAATAAGACCTCCCCGATAATAAGGCCACCCCGGAATATAAGGCCCCGAAGCTCCAGGAAAAATAAGACCTCCCCTGAAAATAAGACCTAGTGCATCTTTGGGAGCAAAAATTAATATAAGACACTGTCTTATTTTCGGGGAAACACGGTAGGAGGAGAACATCACCAGACAGACATTTACATTGTTTTATTTAACTAAAACAACAATGTTATGTATTCTGGATTTTTTTCTTCAACAGCAAACATATAATATTTTAACAAAACAAGCATATGAATTTTTAAATTTAGTTAAACATTAACGTTTTTTAAAATCAGCTTTGTTTTTGTTAAAATCATTTTTAACTAAAATAGTTACATGAAATATTAAAAAAAAAAAATTAAATAGATTGTGTCAGCCAGGTCAACATGAGAACTTAAAATATTGGCTTCTGCAGCTAACTCAGGTTGTCTTCACATTCATTTTCCTGTTTGTTCATAATCTGGAAAAGAAAAACAAGCTTTCCTGCTGTTTCAGGTCCCAAATGATTTCTCAATTTGGAATGAATTAGTCCAAAGGAAGAAAATTTACTTTCTACACTGGCAGAAGAAGCTACTGCTGTTAAAAGTGAGATTATCACTTCAACAGTCTCTGAATCAAGGGCTTAAGTGACTTCCACCAGTTCACTGGCGTGACTTTCTTTAAAACATCAGCAAACATGTATTTCTTGAATGGTTCACCCTTAGCTCTGAAGTTTATTGTAGTTGGCATTATGGAGGGATGATTGCCGGATGTCCATGTCATAGCCAACTCCTTCTCTTCAGCAGTTAAGGTTTGACCCTGGTACCGAGTATTGAGAATATTTGTAAGAAAATGAGCTGGAGATAGTGCTTGTCCCATTCATTTTTTAATACTTGTAATTTAACTCTGTCACTGCATATTTCTCTTTTTAAGATCTCACTCTGTTCCTTCCACATTTCAACAGCGTCAGCAATCATACAGTTATTTCCCTGCATTTTGTTCAAGGCTACAGAAATAGGCTTCAGGGTACTCAGCATGTGTTCAACATTTCTCTTAAGCCCAATGTTGAGAACTTTGGCTGTGACAGTGCCATCTATTTTTTCACGCTTTTGTTCACAAACTCTCATCAGATTAGGCCAGTTCTTGATATAGTGCTCAAAACAGTCCACTACTGAGTTCCATCACACGTCTGGTGGGAGAATTAGCTTGGTTCCTCCCACATTTTTCAGAGCAGCTGCTGCAAAGTGGCTGTTACGTAAGTATTTTGCAATTTCAACAACATTAGCCTTTATTTCTGGAACACTGAAGTCTTTGGCTAGGAGGTGCAGCAGATGAGCACTGCAACCATATGTTATTAGCTTGGGACTCTCTTCTAAATAATTTCTTCTCATCTTGGATACATTTGCAGCATTGTCTGTGACCAAGCTGCGTAATAGACATTTACATTTTTTTTCACAGTTTGTTATAGCATTTACTGCTACTTGTTGTAAGTATTCTGCTGTGCGTGCATTTCCTGATGTATCGATTGTTTCTGTAAGGAAGACATTCCCTTCTTCTGTTGTCACACAAGCACATACAACAGGATCATTGTGGACATTGCTCCACCCATCAAGACTCAGGTTAACAATTTCACTCTCTAGACCTTTTGCACACTATTCAATTTCTCTTTCATACACTTTATCCAGCAATTTTCTTGCGACATCTGCTCTGTTGCGTGGACTGTATCCTGGTCTTAATGACCGAACCATGTTAATGACGTGTGGGTTCTCAATCATACGGAAAGGGGAGTTTGTTGCATAAACAAACCGGGCAATTTTTTCATCAATTACCTCTTTTTGTAAACTGATGGTTATCACAAACTTATCTGTGGTTGTTTCTGGATGATGGAGATATTTTTTTCTTTTTGCTACAGGTGATATACTGTGGCTATGTGACATACATGATGAGACTGAAACACTATAATTGGCAGATAACTCTGAAACTATAGAAAATGATGGTGATGTTGAAGGTGGATAGTCTTCAGAATCCTGTATGTTGAGGATGGATTCTCCTAAACAAAATAAGTCAATGCAGTTATTTAATTATTATTACCATACTGCTCATTTAGTATTACTCATTGCATTCACTGACACTCCGTACTACTTTAAAGGTGAAATTGGAAAAGGAAGATCTGCCTATTAACAGCTATTTATTTTTTATCACAACTGCATTTAAAATGCTAGTACCATAGAGTAACAACTACATTTTTTTGCTCAAACATGAGAATTCAAGAATAGTCCAGAAGGAAGACAGGCAGTCCTTAAGAAAGAAGTATGAAATTAAAAGGTTTACCAACCTGAAGATCCTGCATGTTCAGACATATTCCTTTCATCATCTTCAGTGCAGCTTCCTCCTGAGAAGGAACACTTCTCATGATATTGTTTCATTTGGGCAACCAGGCCTTGCATTTCTTTGTTGCACTGTTTGCATTTTGCATGCATGCCTGTCTTACCCACAGGTAGAGGAACTTCATTAAAATATTCCCAAACTGGGCCTCTTTTACGGCCTGCTGCCATTATAGTGAGAGAATGGTATGGCAGATCTCAAATCAATGAAGGCTACACTCCAGAAAGACCTCCAGACTTCTGGAATATACTGCTCAAACAGTTTCACTTTTGTTTCTACTGCCTGTCCCTCCCTACTCACATTTATCTCCAGACTTCTTCTCCTTGTCCAGATCTGTTCCGTCCCCAACAATCGTCTATTCATTAAACTTTTTGAAACTTTGCACTTTTAGAGAGAGGTAAGGGATTGACTGTGTACACAAATTTGCAGAGGGACAATAGAGTTGCGGTCTATTATTTCTCACCTCTATATATTATTTATTTATTTTAAAACATTTTTGCTGTTAACAAGCATGTTATCTCCGGAGGCACACATCCACAGTTTGAGAACTGCAAAACTAAGCATCTCTGATGGTATCTTCTAGACTGAGCACTGAGTCCCATTGGGTAAATAGAAAGATTAACCTAAATAATTTATACAGAAGCCCCTGGAACTCCATAAGATTGGGTCCCTAATCCATGAACTATCGGAACTCTTTCAAAACTTTTCTTAAACATTACATGAATGTACTCATACTATAGAATTAGAATTTATAATCCCTATTCCATAATGAGATATCTTTGAGCTATAATGTATCTTAATAGGTTTTTTTCTCAAAAAGCATTTTATCAAAAAAATCCGATTTTAAATAAAAAAAATCCGATTTTTTTTTATATATATTTTTTAAATCATTGATTTTTATCCACCCTGCTTAGTGGATATAGTATTTGTTTGCTGGAGTAATAAACTGTTTTGTCTTATCTTTAAATTTGCCTTCTCTTCAGAATGATTATCTGCTGTATGTGTCTTTCCTTTTTCATAGTTTTGGAAGTATTTTCTGAGGCAGTGGGTATCTGGGAGCCTCTTAAAGGGCCAGTATTTGGGTGCCAAAAAATTGCATGAGAATTGCCTCTGATTTTCGTGTGTGTGGCAAAACCCAGCATTTACAAGAATAACAGAACTCCATTCCCAAAGAAGACAAATTTGCATGTAAGATTAATTTTTTGCTTTCCATTGTGAATTTTAACTCTCAAAATACACGTATATCACAACCTTTAAGGGGTACATTCAGCCACAGAATTAGAAATTTAAATGAAAAAACATGGAAGAAGTAATCTTTGGACTTCAGAACATTCTGGCTGAATAAGTAGATATAGCTGCATGCGATGGCACAGCAGGTTAATGAAGTAATGACTATGCTCAGCATCTGTTCTACTCTTGTTATGAGTATCAAAAGCTTAAACAAGCACAGGTTTGTTTTTTTTTAAATACTGCAGGTTTCTTCCTTTTTCTACATATGTATCAAAAGTGTATTAATACATACACCAACACACACACTTCTAGAGAATTTAAGTGTATTGGGTTGTGTCAGATTACTTGTTTTCTTCTATATAACCTAAGTTGGCAGAAGTGTTTAAATAGTAACGTTTATTTCATTTAGCTTTGCGATTGGCTGTATACTCATGACAGATGCTTCAGAAAGTCCATAAACCGCCATGCTGAGCATCAAGAAAGATCTTCATTAAGTGTATATGTACATACTCTCGTGGAAGATTACCTTAAGGCACCTGCATCCAAAAGTAAGTTCAGTTAATCTTTATGAATTAATAGCTCCTAAATGCAAAAACCAGAGTTAGTGATATTACAAGCTTAATGTCTTAAAGTCAAATTTGTAAAATTAAAGATTTTTATACAATGTTAACCTTGTTACATTGCACAATCCTATCTAGTTCATGGTATTGTTTTGTTAATGCTTAATAAAAAAGTATTTGCATTTAAGAAAGGAAACAGGAATAGAAAATACAATATTGCAGAAAAAATTTAAACTTTTGGAATTAGCTGAATTGAGTGCTTGATTTGCAACTTCAGTGTTGCATTAGCACTAGTAGTTTTGTGCATTTAATTTCCTTCTTTATTTTTTTCCCAGTCTCCATTTAGGAAAGGAAAAAAATATGGATTTATTGAGGTTGCACAGTTTACAAAATCCATAGCATGCACTAACAGAATTTATAAATTACATACTCTGGACTTACATATTTGTGGAGATACAAATGTGTTGTGTCGTACTTTTAGTTTGGAGCTAAACAGCTTTCTGCACATGCTTGCAAGCAATTAGGGTTTTTGAGATTAGTCTTCACATTGTTCAGCAGATGAATTTGTAAATTCTTATAACACAAGAAGTATGCAGTTTAATAAATGCATGCAAATCATGAGCACAAAGCTAAATTCTGAACAGAATTTTCTACTTGTGCCTCACAGCAACATTTCAAATATTCATAATTGTTTTTAAGAATTTTCTTTCAAACATCTATTTATGGAGCTTTGATTTTTATATAGCACTTATCACAGTAGTAGTATTACAAATTTAACAAAGCACACGGTGCTTGAAGAAGTTTATAATACAGAGTGTGACATTTCAATAGTCAGTCATTTTTTAGTTATCCCTTTAGAGGATACCAAAAAATGGGATCACGGTTTGATTTTGGTGAATATCATCAGAAAAGTTGTGGTATCAATAGAAAATTAGTTTTCCAAAAACTGTTTTTCTTATGATCAGAGATGTTGCAAGCTCTTTCTTTCATTTATCATTAATTAGGCTAAAATTGTTGCCAAATTCATTTGGAAATTCTGAAGGTTTACTCTTCCCTAAAAATTAGTTTGGCAGAACTTCCCTGCCTCCTGAAATGTGTGTTCAGGCCATTACTTTGGAGTTACAGGTCAGCTAACTGAAAAAACAGCTTTTATAGAATAGGTTCCTGTTATTTTACTTGAATTGCAGCTCAGTTTATAAGCAGCTTGATGAGCAAATTATGCCTTCAGGTATGGAACTACTTGTGCGTTGGAAAACCAAAGCATGTCTCGCTTTCTGAATTCTCAGGGCTAAAAGTCCAAAATTCTTTCTAAAATGACAGCTCTTAGACTGTTTTTTATAGCAAATAATTGGTGTAAATGTTTTGTCCATATAAGTGATCAATTGGGAGGAAAACTTCAGTTTAACTTCATGCTTTTTTCTCTTTTGACAGTGGGTTTCGTTCTGTATGAAACTTCTGGCTGGTAGAAACACAGGCTGGGATTTTCAAAGGAGTCTAAGTAGGTTGAATTTCAGGGGGATTGACCTGACTCCCTTAAGCTCCTTTGAGAATCCCAGCCTCCCTTTAAAAAGTACTTTTAAAAAAAGTTTATCAGGATTTACTGATAAAGAACCTAACATGTAGCCTAAAATGTATTTTAACCAAAAGGCTGGTAGATGCCTTCTTATGTAGTAGGTAGAGGATGAAAATCAACCTGATTTAATTTAAATGTATATACAAGAATGCAAAGTGTTCATTATTAATATTTATGCTGATATTTTGTACATTGAATTAATGAATCATTTATCTATCACTGCCTGCTGTTAATAGGATTGGAAACCTACATTAGCAGTTAAAATTACTATTCTGAGATTTTTTTTAAAAATATCATGGAAAATTTAAATTTTCTTTAATCAGGAGAAAACTGCTTTATGCCTGACTGGTTTGAAGCTAAGCTTGTTGCTACAATGATTCTGCTGGCTGCAGATGTGGAGGAGATGAAGAATAAACAAAGGCAAGTAGGAATCTCATCACATTTTTCTTTTGGGCCTGTTCCAAAGCCCACTGAAGCCAGTAGAAAGACTCCAGTTGACTTCAGTGGGCTTTGGATCATCCCGTAGTCAATTGCCTTAGAACTTGTCTTGTAAAATTTTCAAAAGTGCCTAAATGACTTTGGAGCCTAAGTCCTAGATTTTCAAGTGACTTAGACACTTAAGAAAAGTTCACAGAATATTTGTTTTTAATTTTTGTTTTGTGCAGCAAAAAAAGCAACACTGAACGGGTTGAACTAAAGTCTTTCTTGCACCCTCTTCTGGATGTCTTGTTGAAACTTGGCACTAATGCTTACATACCAACACTGAAAACCGATAAAAGTCTACAGCTACTCTTGAAGCTATTACAGACCTGTTTGTTAAAACAGTCCAGTCCACTAGATGGTTAGTGATCTCTTTAGTATATTGCATCCTATATAATTTATAATCAAACTAAACTTGTGGATATTTACTACGGTAAAGGGATATTGTCAAGTAATGTCAGTTCATAAGTAATGTACATAAAAAAGTTTATAATCAGGGGCATGCCTTCCAAATCAGAAACTGGGCTCAATCCTGCAGAAGCCCTTCTGGGGTATCCCACCACTGCTTGTGAGTTGAGGATGTAGAATGCTTCCAAGAAAGCACTTGGCATCCTTCAGGATTGGACCCACAAGTATTTAGAACCTGGATAACATGCACATATTATAAATAACTATGAGCCCATTCTTTGGGAATTGAGCCTGCAGAGTTCCTAGCAGCCCGAGGAATCTCCCAGGAGGCTGCTTTCATCTTACAGGATTGAACTCCAAACTTTTTTTCTCCTTTTAAATGCTTTGGTATCAAGACATGTAAGAAAAGAAAAGCCACTTTTTAGGTATGACCTGCTGTGTTTTCATGCTTCTCTGCTGCAGAGTAAAGCCAAGTAATAAACTTAATTGCCAGAGCTATGAACTGAACAGGGAAATACAGTAAATGTACAAGTTGTCTTGGCATGTTTACCATTTAAAAAAAAGGGAGGGGGACACAGTGTATGGAAAACTGATACGAACATGTTCTGATTTCAAACTTGTACAGTGATGTTACTAACAGTGGTGAATGCTTTGTTTAAAAAAAGTACAAAAATGTACTTGATGTTCCTTTCAAAATGTGGTTGTGGTCAGAAAGGTGACTGTATTATTGGCATTTTCTTACTCAACAGATCTGCGTTTATTGAGTCTGCAGACATTCGTGTTGAAAAATGACTTTTTACTAATTATTATTATTGATAACCTTTGAGGGCCAACAGAACTATGGGAGAGTTAGCTGGATTCTGTTCTGGGTTGTGGTTTATCAAAAGAATTCCTAAGTTCCATTTGCAGAATTGTTATTACAGATAAAGCATGAACCAAACAGCATGCAAGGGGGAATTATGGTGTAATAACAGTAATAATTTGATGTAGGAACTAAATTATAATGTTTAATCTTGTGAACAAACTAGAGATGTGCACTCCTATAAAAGCAGTCAGCTGAGCCATTTTCAGCCATGTTAATAAATAGAGAACATTGATAATAAGCACAATATAGTTTTGGAATATGTCCATATTGTTTCTGGCATTTGGCAGTTTTCCATTTAATTAAACTTTTGTTTTCAAAAATTAAATATCAGAGCAAGTCTCCAGGAAGGGTACTAGGCTTTCCTCTGAGCTTGCTCTTTGTTGTAATTCTAAGGTGACACAGAAAACCTTGAGGAAATCCTCAAAGGTATTCTTTGAGAATCTCCCTGGGAGCTCAACCTGTGCTTCATAGATGTTTATTTCATAGCAGGTCCAATCAGATAGACTCCACTTTAATGCTTTGTTATCCTCCCTGTGATCTGTTAACTCCCCATATGTTGGTGCAAAAAGGGCATGCAGAGGCTTTCAGTGCCGTCGCCGTATTGATGTATTATCCGTCTGACTTTCAGTGCCACTGTGGTTTCCCTTGAAATATAGATTGAGGTATATAGGTGGTGAAGTACATTTTGCCACATTTACCCACTACAGCCCCTACAGAGTAACATACCTATGTCATTTTCTATGATTAAGTGCCATGCAAATGTATTGTGTGGCACTATGTTTTGTACATGTTTTATCATAGCGTTCCCTAAGTAACAAATGCTATTTTCCATTATAATCTTGTGCTCTCATTTACTTATAACTTTCTGAAAATAACTTTTTAGGCTGAAATCTTCCATGCTTGGTCTCTACCTAAAGATGAATTACTTTAGAAAGTTTCAAGGAATGCTCTTTTAGCTGTTACTGTATGCAGATGTGTTTAAGAAAAAAACAAAAAACTCTCCCCCAGGTACATTACATTAGTGGCTGAATTTGGAAACTGAGCATTCTAAATGTCCTCACTGAGGAATAAGCTCATGACAAAGTTTGGGCAAAAATGGGTTGGGAATTTAATAATGTTATGAACATTTGAAAACAGTCAAGCTCTTTATCTTCCATCTTTACAAATTTCACTACACTTTGATCACTCACAAGAAGGAATATAACCCACTTCACACTGCAACATGTGGCTATGCAATGCTATGAAAGTACAAAGTAGTTTAAATATCCTTATTTTAATCATTAAAAAGAGCAGATACAACACTAGATAGAAACAAGGAGCAGATCGATAGTTAGAACATGTCATTTTCACATAGTTGCTTTTCTTACTAGAACCCCACTTTAACTAGCTGTGCGTAAAAATGAAATAGATCTATCTTTATGTGTCTATTGAGAGACATTGGGCCAGATTGCGACCTTACATCTATCCCAGAATGTGGTGCAGCAAGGAAAGAGTTCTGATTCTGAGGGTAAAGAGTTCCTTTCTCAGCTTCTTTTGTTTTTGTTCTAAGAGAGAAAGTAGCTGCTACTGGCTATTGTAGTAGCAAATTCTTCTCCCTCTGTGCCAGTTCAGCTGTGCTATTGTGGGAACAGAGCCAGTGGCTGTGTTCATTCCCATCCCCTCTCTATCCATTCCCTGGTTACCTTTGCGGAGGTAAAGGAAGGCTCATGTCAGTGGTGCCTGTTCTTGTCCCCATTGCATACACTGGTGTTCCAGGTAGCCCAACCCCTTATTTTCCTGCGTGGGTGTGTTGGGCAAGTGACAGTCTTGCCCATGGTGATCTTTTTTGATGTGCATGCTCATTCTGCAATTTGCATCCAACCATAAATGTGTAAACAAATATATTTTATATATAATATATATAATATAATTTTCCCATACAAGCATACTACTCCTCAGTGATGTATATGATCATAGTAGTTTTGGTTTAAATCAGGAAAGGTGTATTTTTTTTCTCTTTCACTCAACTGTAAAAGCAGTTGAAGGGATTTTGCTCCAGTTTTAAGTTATGAAACTGTGAAAATTGAGTTTGAATGGAACCTGTTTTGCAGCCTTAACTTAAATTGTTGATTGAAGACCGAGAAACTTTTGTAGTAAAGGTCAAACAACCACGCACACATAATTTGGGCATTAGAATACCATAATCATAGAATCATAGAATATCAGGGTTGGAAGGGACCTCAGAAGGTCATCTAGTCCAACCCCCTGCTCAAAGCAGGGCCAATCCCCAGACAGATTTTTGCCCCAGATCTCTAAATGGCCCCCTCAAGGATTGAGCTCACAACCCTTGGTTTAGCACGCCAATGCTCAAACCACTGAGCTGTCCCTCCCCCATATATATAATATAATGTACTATAATAAAGTTTGAGAGTCGTTCTAATTAATTTAGGCCCTGATCCAGCAAAGCATTTGAGTATGTGCTTTAACTTTAAGCGCTTGAATAATCTCATTGACTTTGAGATCTCTCTGGCGTTTATTCAATCAAATTGATTTCTGATAAACATAGAAAGCAAACCAATGAACTACAGGTTTACCTGGCCATTAAATTGGACCTACCAGTTTATGAGATTTGATCTGGAACTCTGAATGCCCTCCAGATTTATTAACACTTGAGAAGATTTGAGGGATTCTTAACATCAAGTTTTTATAAATTTTTAAGCAGCAGAGCTTTGCGTGTGTCCTTTAAGATAGAATGCCTAAACCTAAAAATACAATCATAAACATTTCTTGAAAACCCTGATATTCTGTGCACCATTTTATAGCCGTCTAACCAATCAGATGCAGATCCCCTCAAAAAGAGAAGTAGAACAGACTGAAATAATATAGTATACAATAAAATGAAGAGCAGTCATTTATACCGAATGATCAGAAGCTTAAGAGAATTGTAAATGCTTATTCCTGTATAGCTTGATATTGTATGGTAACCTGATTTAGTTCACTTTGTATATCATGTATCTCTAACACAAAAAAGTACATTGTTTTAATAGTGCATTTGTTTTGTTTTCTGTATAGATGTGGTGTTAAGTTTTCTCTCTAATTCTGTTATGACTGCTGCAGAAAGTATACTGGAATTTGTCCTCAGAAGACTCACTACAAGTGAATTGAATACTGTAAGTATTTACTGTAGATACCTGAAAGGCTCTGTGTCTGATTTTTTTGTTTTTTCAGTGCAGTTCTGATTGTTAATCTGTTATGCACAGAATTGGCAATATTTTTACATGTTTCCAAATGAAATATTTCAACACCCAGAAAATCATTTTGCATAGAAATACTTTAAACTCTTGTTATGGTTTTTGATAAAAGCCTGCTGAGACAGATATCTGAAGTTTCTTCCAGTAAAGGGAATTCAGCAGAGATTCGGTTTACCTTAGCCAGTAAACTGACTTGAAATTTGACACAGTGGGAACAGTTCACTACATTAATTGTCACTGCTCTGGTTTAAAGAAATCGTATAGCAGAGGGGGAAAAGGAGGGGCTGTTTTCTGGGGGATGCCCTGCGGCTGGGCTCTGGGTGGCTGGGCTCTGTGTGTGTGTGTGTGGGGGGGGGGGGGCTGGTGTCTAGGCTGGAGTGGTGCCCTGTGCAGCTGGGCTCTGTGCGGGAGATGGGGAGGGCTGCTGTCTAGGCCAGGGGGTGCTCCGTGGCTTGGCTTTGGGGGGAAGCGGGTGTGAGTGTCTGGGCCGGAGGGCGGGGGTGCCCCAAAGCTGGACTCTCTGGGGGGATGGGAGTGCAGATGTCTGGGCTCTGGGAGCCCCACACAGCCCCCTCAATCATCCCCCAACTGGAACTGGGTTGTTGTAGGGGTTCCTTTAACTCTCTACTCCTGGGGGATTCTTTTTTGCTGTTGTCTGTATTGTTGACATACTTGTTGACAGATATTTTTAAATAAATTACCAAAATTATTGAAAATGGAGTGATTATATTGTGTTATTTTGACAACTAAAATATGCAGAATTTTAAAATATTGTGCTCCAATTTTTTTATTTTTTGGCGCAGAATTCCCCCAGGAGTACTAGTTATATGTGTTGGACTTGCACAGAGAGCTTTACAAAAGAGCTTAAAAGACACACACAAGGCGAAACTAGTAATAAACGGTTCATGGGAGAAAGAGTAGAATGAGGCATGGTGATGAGAAGAAAGGTAGTATTCCTGAAGGATGTGGGTTTTCAGGAGAAGAGAGAGGGACTTGGCAGACAGAGGAGGGCTGTTCAAAGCATAGAAGGCAGTATAACAGAAAGTACAAAGGTAGAGGGTGAGGAAAGAGAGAAAACAAAAAGATGAGTGGGTTGGTAGAAGTGTGGGGAGTTGAGTGGCAATAGAAATGTAGAAGGAAATGAGATCAAAGATTTAAAGGCCTTGAAGATGAGTACAAGGAGATGAGCACTGTGACAAGGGGAAGGTGATTTCAGCAGATGCAATTTGGATAGACTAAATGGGGAGAAGTGAGAAGATGAAAGACAGAAACAAGGTTACTGTAAACAAGATAAGAGAGAGGAGATCACGGGCAAGGATTTTAGCAGTAGTTAGTGGCTACTCAGAGGGTAAAGGGAGAAAGACACTAAATGCTATTGTGAATCTGGACCTAAGTCCCAGGTTCAATTCCCCATTCTGTGCCAGAGCAGGAGAAAGGATTTGAACAGGGGTTTCCAACACCTCTCAGAAGAGTGCTCTAACCCCTGAGCTCTGGGATAGTTTGATATGGGGCTCCCTCAGTCTGTCCTGTTGAAGCTGTTCCAGTGTAGATAACTAATGAACGAGTCATTGGACCCTGGGTCTCCCAACTCCCAGGAGGGTGCCCTAAGCACCAGACTACAGTCTCATTCTTTCTCTCTCTGGCCCAGTGACCCTTTAAGTATTTATCCTTTGTGGAAGAGCCTCAACAGGAGAAATTGAGAGAGCCCCACATGAGAATATCCCATTGCTCAGTGGTTACTGCACTCATCTGAGCGGTGGGTGGCCCCAGTTCGAATGCTTTCTCCCCCTCTGTTCAAGGGGGGAATTGAATCTGAGTCTCCCTCATCCTAGGTTAGTACTCTAATCAGTGGGCTAAAAGTTATAAGGTGGGTATCACCTCCGGCCATTTTGTGTGGAGTTAGGCACCTGTGTAGCTCCTTCTCACAAGAAACACCTTTAGGCACTTATGCCACCTGACTCCATGAGAGGGATTCCCAGCTATAAATCGCTAGCAGTGATGGGGACTTCCCTGCAGCCTTGTGTCAGCACTTACCTCTCTGAGAGGAGTGGGACTGAGCACACATTCTTCTCATCGCTATCTCCTATTGGCTAACTTAGACGCTTCCTTGCCTCATTTGTTTGATTTTGTAAATCTCATTCTAAGTTGCCTATTTTCCCCCATTTGTTATATAGGGAGCCAAGGTGCTTAACTCAGGCTTTGTGAATCGCAGTTTTGTCCCTGTGATTTTCTAGGTATCTAAAAGTGACACTCATGTCACAACGCCCAAGTCCCTTTGTGAATCTAGGCTAAACTGGCCAGTGTAGACTCCAGAGAAGAAAGTTGTATGGGAAGGAGGAAGGGACAGGAAGTGACTAACAGGGAGGGAGGAGAAGTTCATAGCCACTTCTAACACTTGGGGGAGTGCAAAAAGATGGTCCTTGTAAGAGGAATGTAGCAACAGAGGTTGAGGTGTCAGAAAAGAGCCGTGTTTCAGCAAGAGTGAAGAGGTGGAGGGTAGCAGGAAAATAGAGGTTATGGATCAGGGTGAGTTTTTCTGCAGTGGAGTGGGAGTTTTGAGAGGGAACATAATCAAAGAGGGAGCGTGGAGTATGGAAATAAAACTGATATGGAAAGAGTACAAGAGAGGTTCATGATAGAGGATGGGATGAAGAAGGGACTTGGACTGAGACAAAGACTAAGGTTGAAATGAGAAGAGGATTTGTGAAAGTGAGAAAAGGAACATAAGAATGGCCATACTGGGTCAGACCGGTGGTCCATCTAGCCCAGTATTCTGTCTCTGACAGTACCAAAGCTTATGGGGCAGTGTATAGAACAGAGCAGTTGGAGTGTTCCTCCCCGATCCATCCCCTGCTGGCTTTTGGCAGTCAGAGGTTTAGGGTCACCCCAAGTCTGGGGTTGCATCCATGACCATCTAGGCTCATAGCCATTGATGGACCTATCCTCCATTAATTTATATAGTTCTTTTTTTGAACCCAGTTGTACTTGTGTTCATCACAACATCGCATGGCAAGGAGTTCCACAGTTAATTGTGCATCATGTGAAAAAGTACTTTCTCTTGTTTGTATTATACCTGTTGCCTATTAATTTCATTGAGTGACCCTTGGTTTTGGTATTGTGGGAAAGGGTAAATAACACTTCCTTATTCACTTTTCCCACACCATTCATGATTTTATAGACCTCTATCATATCACCCCTTCGTTGTCTCTTTTCTAAGATGGACAGCCCTAATCTTTTTAATCTCTCCTCTTTCCCCTCAAGCCATTCCATACCCTTGATCATCTTCGTTGCCCTTCTCTGAACCTTGTCCAGTTCCACTATATCCTTTTTGAGATGGGGCTACTAGAACTGGACACGGTGTTCAGGGTGTGGGTGCACCATGGATTATATAGTGGCATTATGGTATTTTCTGTCTTATTTTCTGTCCCTTTCCTAATAGTTCCTAAAGAAGAGGAGGTGTTACCTCTCCGGGAGTAGAGAAGGCAGTAAAGTTCATGAAAGTACACAATGGGTGAAGAGAGGAGAAAAGGAAGGTGGTGGTGATATGATGTGGTGTGGAGTAGGAGAAGTAAGTGAAGGGGAGCGCAGAAGCTAGAAGCCAGAGAACAGAGGGGACATAGTGGGAAAGCGAAGTAGGGCCAGGGAGAAGTATGCTATTTTCTTAGGACTCTGTGGTGAGACATCTGCAGAAGAAGAAAAAGCAGTGGTCCAGTTATCAAACAGCTGATTTTGCTTGAAACAATATATGGACCCACAGGAAGAAGGGCAGAGCCCGTGGTCAAATGGAGAGGAAAGGAAGTTTCTAGTAAAAAAGGCGACTGGAGATTCCTTTCATAGTACCAAAGTTGTTGTTGGTTACTCAGAGAACCCTGAGGTGGAGTGGGGGAACCTGACAGGAAGGGAGAGAAGAAAGTGTTGAGCCACAAGAAGAAAAGGCTGTTCAACTGTAGTTGTTGCTGCTGCTCCTGCCTTTTTCTAGCTGTCTCATTTTCAATTTATTTTTTCTCCTTTTTAGTGACTCTACCTACCTTCTTCATTTTAGGTTTCAGATCTGGATCGTTGTAATTTATACTTAGCATTATTGTCAGAGCTGGTGAATTTATGCTCAAACGCTGGCTGGAAAAAGGGGCCCTCCATTTGGAATTTCATCTCTTCTCTGATAAATGCCTCTATTCAAAATCTGCAGGAGACGGGCAATGAACAGGTAATTTTACAAGGGATAAATGGCATAATTATATGATACAAATATTAATGAATATATTACTTTACAGAAAACTCATTTGTGTAATTCATCTGCAGTGTTAAATTGCAGTGAAACACTCTGTTTCCCAAAGGACATTGTTAGGACTGTAGTGCTGTAGTCCGGGCCAGCTCCAGGCACCAGCTTACCAAGCAGGTGCTTGGGGCGGCCACTTCGGAGAGGGGCGGCACGTCCAGCTGTTCGGCAGCAATTCGGTGGACGGTCCCTCACTCCTGCTCGGAGCGAAGGACCTCCCGCCGAATTGCCGCCGCAGATCGCGATTGCAATAGCGGCTTTTTTTTGTTTGTTTTTGTTTTTGTTTGGCTGCTTGGGGTGGCCAAAACCCTGGAGCCGGCCCTGGCTGTAGTTCTTTAACGGTATACAGCTGCTATATAGCTAAAGCAATGCGTTGGTGGCAATAAACACATTTTTCTCAAATAAGATTGTGTAGTGCTCAAAGGCCTTTGCCTAAAATACAGTAAAATGTTAGATAGCTTTGAAAATAGAATTAAATTGAAACCCCATCTCCGAAACGTTAGTATTAATACAGTGTTAAATTTGCAAGGTCAAGAAATTCCAAAAGCTAACATTTTCTGTTGCAGTATTCATTCCCCCACGTTTTATATCCCACAGTTATATATGTGTTATATGTAGAGTAATAGGTTAATATTTTCATTTTTCAAGAGAAAGAGAAAAGTTTGATGTGAAACATGGCTGAATTCATATTGCTAGAGGAATTTTAACTTTTGGAATTTCCAGACTTGACGTTAATGCTTTGTCAAAAAGATTTTGGGGGGATTTAATTTCCTGTGTGTGTGTCTGTCTGTCTGTCTTTCTTGCTCCCTTTTAAGTTAGTGGGAGTTTAATGATTACTACAGTGGCAGCAGAATGTCTTGTACTTTGCATGCATTCACAGCTCAGTTAATCTTTAAGTTGGTGTCTCTAGGTTTAAGGTATATCCTCTATAGAATATGCATTCATCTCTTTCTTAAATCAAAATATTTTTCTCCCGCAACCCAAGCAAAGATACTAGTTCAAAAAGAGAGGAGGATTATATTCATGCCAAATCTGTATCTGTTTTTATTTTATGGTAGCCCTGATATTTTTAAAAGGATAGAATTTTAAAATGGGAAAAAATGTGTTCATTTTCAGCCTTCACAAAGTGAAAAAATGGATGGACAGATTTTGCTCACTTTCTCATTTTTTTTATTAGCATAAATCACTGTCATCCTTAGTACACAAAGTGAATGTTTTGGTGAATTGTGTAAAAACAGAATTGTATGTTTGAAACTGTTTTTCAACCTTAATTATAGTGGCAGTGATAAACACCCTCTAATATCCTGATCCTATCCTTCTCAGAACAAATCAGTAGGCTCAAAGAAGTTAAGAAATTAAATCATACACTGAGAGCAGAATGAGAGATAAAACACACTAGTATCATTTTTGCATGTCTAAGTGGAAAAACAAGTTAGTTTTTTTCAGCTATTTGTGATTTTATCATAATTATCATTTTATCAAACAAAAATGACATTTGTGGATTAGTAGCATATTGTAACAGTATATTGAGGCCTGACTCAGTAATTCTTCCCAAGTCAATACTTTATTTGAATCAAGGGGTTTTCCTGAGTAATGAGTGTTTTAATAGGGTCTCTATGTTAGTTATGTGTTGTTGAAAGATTGCAGCAAATTCTTACAGCCATTCTTCATAGAGAAGGTGGGAAGAGGTTAGAAACATTTTCTGTGTTTCTGATAGCTGGAGGCATTCAGAAAATAATCTGTTATACTATTGCATTTTGTACATTGCTGTACACATTGACAGTGCTCAGTAATTTTTTATATAATCTTCTGTCCCTTTTCCTCACCCCTGCACACTTGTTCCTATATAACTTTACACACAAATTAATATATTTTGATTAGGAGTGAGCTGCATTTTATGCTATAATAGATCGCATAGTCTCTTCTGCTTGCTCTGCTTCTCAGACACAATAATTCCCCTTTAGTTGAAGTGACAGTTGTTGCCTTCTAGACTGCTTTAACTATTCTCTCTACTGGCCTTGGAGGACTCTGGCTACATGTGCCTGAATTTTACTTTTTGTTCAGATTTCCATAAATAATAGAATTCAAACTTATAATTTGTGAGGAATTTGATTTGGGGGAAAATATCCTTGTGACAGGTATACATTTGAATATTTGCTTAACACTAAGTTTGTGACATAAAATAGAAAATATGAAATTAAGACTGACCTTAGTTGCAGTTCAGCCTTAACTGTACTGGCACAAGTGCTGTAATTTACTAGAATGAAATTAATTTCTTACCATTTCCATTATTAGTAAAAATACATAAGTTAATTTCTGCCCACTCAGTTAACTATGAATGTCATGTCATATTCAAACTACAGGGCTGGTGCTGATAAAGGAATGCTTGTAATTTGTAGGATGAGATAGATACATACACACCTGTTTTTCCCTGCATTTTAATCAGATTTTCATATATAATAGAATATTTTAAAGGTATTCAATATGTATCCGTATATTATTCATAATTTATTAGGGGAAATTTTAGTATGTTGATTGTGTGATTTTTAATTTTTCATTACTAGGAACCAAAGCTTGGAGAACAGATTCAAAAAGTAGTTAGTATGGCCTCACTAACTGTGGTTTGTGAGATTATTGATCAGAAACCTGAACTGCAACTTAAATCTCTACACGTTGTTGAAACCCTAAAAGATTTTATTTCCTCTGTTCAACTTAATCAAGTATTAAAGAAGCCTTCCTATATTGAGGAAAAAAATAGGTATGTCTATGCTACAGTTCAAGTCACTTTCTATACATCTTTAATACAGAGTAAAGTAACTTTAAGATAACTTTTTGGGTAATTTTTGACAAGATACAAGTTTCATAAGTGATAACTTAATTAATTTAGGATGTCTAAGTAGCTAAATGAGTCTTTGTACTCTTCAGATCCAGAATATGGTGGAAGCGAAATGGATTTGCTCATCTTAGCTCTTTCTATAGTAGGAGTAGGGAATTAGGACTCAATTGATTCTTACTGAAGTGAATAGATATCTTTCCACTGAATTTAATGGGAGTTGAATTGGCATTTAGACTTTTGATTCTAATCTGCTTTCTGTTAGGACATTACATTATGGCCTATAGTTTGTATGTAAACAAACTGAAGTATTAATATGGACTTAAAAGTATTTTCTCTGTTACAGTTTATTTGAAGAATCAACATCTTCTCAAGGATGGGGGAAAATCGTTGCAAGCTATGTACATGACCAGTGGGTTTGCCTTCATTTTATTTTAAATAAGTATCATAAATTTATACCATTGTCAAATGATGAGACTCTGGAACTATCTTTGCTTGCAGTCCAAAGGCCAATAAGAACTCTACAGTCTGCACTGGAAGCTCTAACTCTTTTGCCTTCTGACCAGGTTTTACCTGTGTTTCGTTGCATGAAAGTGCTTGTTCCCAAGGTAAGAGACAAAAGCAAACCTATGGTCAGTAACAATAATGAAGATTATTTTCCCCCCAGAAATTAAACACTGCTTTTCTTCTCTTTATTTTCAGCTTCTGGGCTCATCCGAATCTCTCTGCATAGATGCATTTGATCTGGCTTGGAAAGTTATATCCTCTTTGAGCAACACACAGCTAATATTTTGGTCTAATTTAAAAGCCTTTGTTCAGTTTGTGTTTGACACTGAAGTTCTTGCTGTTGCTGCAAGTAGCAAGGGTCAAGCATATTCAAAAATAAAGGAGGTAAGTGTTAGTGTTCTTTTTTGTAAATGTATGTAAATTGTTGAGTGGAAGACATCTTTTCTTAATAGATGATTTTTTTCCTCTCTCAGCTATCTCAATGAATTTTTCTCCTCACAAAAGATGCTGGATTGAGAACACTAGAACCAAAGTCATTTTTGTTTATCCTCAGAACATCAATACAATGTATTCCACCCTTTCAGGAGGGACTGCCTCTAGGAGTAAGAAGGTTGTTTAATTTTCAGGTCCATTAAGTCCATGCTGTCTCTGCTGGTCCTGCCAGATAGGGTTCTAGTGAGCAGTGGAGGGAAAATTGTCTACTATGAACTACACACAAAAAAACCATTTCTTGTAGATCACACAAAATCATTACATGGCAATGACTTTTGGTCGCTACCAATCTGTGCTGGCTTCAAAATGGTGACCTACAAAAGAGAGGCTTTATATCTCATTACAATTTGTTTCACTCATCCAGTTCCCCTTTACTTGTTCCTGTGATATAGGTAATGAAAGGTACTGTACCTTTGACTTGTAAATTATTCACTTCCCTGCCTATCCAAGATCTTCTGAATTCATGAAAATGATTTCAGTTTCCTTTGGTCTCATTAGTGAGTTTTTTGCTATAATTTCATATCTACAGTATGCATTATTACTTGTATCTTTATCCAATGGTTTATAGAGCTGTTTTTTGATAACATTGGTGAGCTATTAGACATGAAGTTAGGACACTATTTAAACAGACAACTTTTGCTGCTGCTGTAGAGGGGTTTTTTCCCAGGATTCCAGAATGCTGAGAAAAAATGTAATCTTGCAAACAAAGATTTTATTATCTTAAAGAAAGATTAATTTATTAACATTGGAGCCAGTTCTATTATATTTTTACTTGCCATTCTGGAAAACAGGAAATTCATCTTTACTGATTTTGGTGAGGTATGTCATTTCCTGTCCTCCAGGAGTCCAGTTGCTTCAGCTAGATTTGATGAAGGGGGAGGGGGAGTTTCAGGAAAATTTGGAATTGAGTGAAAGCTCCTATTTTCCTGGGTTTTAGTAAAATCATTTTTGGATGTTTGTATTGATTATGAAGCTTATGGATTTTTTTATCATGTTTACAGTTAGATCCTTGATGCCAGCATGCAAGTTTATTGTGGTGTATTTTGGCACCAAATAACTGTAGTCCATTCTGGTCTAAATTGTAGCATTTTCTTTAGCTCCTTTCCTCATCTTTGTGTATATGTTTGACCAATTTATGAATTATGTTTTTCTTAATCTGTTACTTTAGTAAATGAATTTAAAAAGTCAGTGTTTACCAACAGTTACCACATAGTGGTAGCTGAGAATATTGTTGTTTTCCTTTCTGTTTAGAATAGAAAATAAATGTAGTATCTCAGATACGTCTTGTAGTAGCTTAGTAAATATTGAGTTTTTGATGACACCCACAGCAATATTAAGCCGATAAGGACTTGAAGGACTTTGTGTGATCTCTTGACTTATGTCAACACAAGAAAAACCTTTTACTCCACTGGCTTCCTACTTCTGATTAAAGAGGAAAAATATTCCCCCTTAAAAATATTTGGTTCCACTGTAGATGATCAGTGCTATAGAAAGATAGTATATCCTTTGTGACAGTACGGAAGAGTGGGTTGCATTGAGAGGCTACAAAATAACAAAGAACAGGAAGTTCTTATGCGGAAACTAAATAATCTCCAAAAAGCTTTGTACTTGTATTTGGCCGATAAAACCATAAATATTGGGAAGAGTTTTAAAACAGTGTAATCTTGATTCTTCTTTGAGTGCTGTCCCTGTGGGTGCTCCATTTACAAGTGTCTGTGCATCCTGACGGTGTCGACCAGAGATTTATGGTAGCAGTGTCCGCGCAGGTCGCACATGCGCAGTAGGTGTCTCGCGGTGCCGTTGGTGCAGAGTCTAGCATGCACATGACCTGAGCCCTCCAATTCCTTGTCAGCCATCCTCAGCTGAAGACTGAGCTCTGGGGCAGTGTTCATCACTCTTGCCAAACCTTTAGAAATAATAGTTTAAATAGTTAGTTAGTCATATAGAAAGTTGTAGTTAGTGTTAGTTTTGTTGGATCAAAAAGAAAAGTTTACTTTCTCCCAGTTTACCTTCCTGTAGTTCCCCTGCTGCGGGGTCGGTTAACCATTTAAGATGCCTGGCTCCCCAGGCTTTAAGCTATGCAGCTCCTGCCGCGAAGCAATACCAGTTTGATGGGCACTCCTTGTGTGTCCGATGTCTCAGTGAGGTGCATATCCACAAAAATGTGCCCACTGTAGCAACCTGAAGGTGAGAGCCCGGCGTGACTGGGATCTCCGACTCAAAATGATCCTGATGGAGAAATCTCTCCAACCAGAGACGGAACAACGGATCTCCTCTCCGGGCACCCCTCCTTCAGGAGACATGCCTTCCTCTAAAAGACTGAGGAAGAGGGCACAGAAACATAGGCGGTCTCCTGCCAGGTCGCTACCCCCGATGCCTACACATGCTTGGGTGAGCACCTATGACACTCCGGGCACCTCCAGCACCACTGAGTCCCAAGCGAAGAAGACACAGCAAACACAGCCTACACAAATGGCTTACAGTATCACAGTATCCTGGACGACTTACAGTATCATCCCGTGTCCTGGACTCTGCACTGGTGGACAAGACCAGAAAATGTATGCATGGGCATCCCCTTCCAACAGGAACCCCCATCAATAGTAATTACGATGGATGCCTCACTGATAGGCTGAGGCGCCCACATGCATTTGCACACAGTTCAAGGCAAATGGTCTCTTGCGGAGACTCATTTGCACATCAGTCTACTAGAGCTACGCGTGGTCCGCAATGCCTGCAGACACTTCCTACCTCACACATAAAGAACGAATCAATTCGCATAATGACTGACATTGCCTACATGTTTTACATCAATTGCCCAGGGGGCGCTTTGATCTCACTCACTATGCACTGAAGCCATGAAACTGTGGAACTGGTGCATTCACCACAACACAAACATTTTGGCCTTCTACCTTCCCAGTTGCCAGAACGCAATGGCGGACACACTAAGCAGGTACTTCTCTCGAGACCACAAATGGGAAATGAACGAGGGAGTCCGGCAATCTGTATTCCGCCGGTGGGGCACTCCCCTCATCAACTTGCTTGCATCCCCAACAAACCCCAAATGTGCAATATTCTGCTTGAAAGCGGGAATGGGACCACGATCACTGGGGATGCTTTCCTCATTGCATAGGATGCGCAACTGATGTGCGCGTTCCCACCGATTTCCCCTGATATTAGGTGTGATACACAAGATACGAATAGACAAGGCCAAGGTCATCCTCATAGTCCCGACATGGCCCAGGCAAGCATGGTACCCTTACCTAATGGGCATGGCAATATGTGGCCCTTGAGCTCAACCTTGCCATCCGGACCCGCTGTCTCAGAACATACTCTTCTCCCGAGTATGGAAAAACTCCACCTACAAGCATGACTCCTGCATGGTTCCATTATGGCGAACTAGCCTGTTCGGAACAAGTTAAACATGTATTACTAAACCGCAGGAAAGTGACCACACGTAATACTTATCTTCAGATGTGGAAGAGATTCTCCTCCTGGTGTCAAGAAAAACGTGTGACAGCCTCCACAACATCGCCACCATTAGTGTTGGAATACCTATTGGAGCTGAAATGCTCGGGTTTAGCAAAAAGCTCAGTCAAAGTCCATCTCGTGGCTATTACAGAATTCCATCATGAGATTGATGGGACCTCGATCTTTGCGCACCCCATTACTAAACGCTTTCTCGCGGGTCTCCAGAACATTTACCCAGAGGTTCGCTAACCTACGCTGGCCTGGGACCTCAATCTGGTATTGAAATGCCTCACCAGACCACCATTTGAACCCCTAGTCATCTATTCCCTCCTTCATTTATCCATGAAAATGGCCTTTTTGGTCACTATTACTTCTGCCAGATGGGTGAGTGAGATAGGGGCTCTCATGGCTGATCCTCCCTACACATTATTCTTCAAAGACAAGGTCGTGCTGCATCTGCCCCCAAAATTCCTACCACAGGTAATATCATATGAACCAACCAATCCATCTTCCCACGTTCTATCTCAAGCCTCACGGGACTCCCAACAGAGGCCGTCTTGCATACACTGGACGTCAGGCGTGCATTAGCGTTTTACCTGGAAAGGACCATACCTTTCCGGAAATCTCCTAGATTTTTTGTTTCTACTACCGACCATTCGAAAGGCTGCGCAATATCTACTCAGAGACTGTCTAAATGGATCTCCACATGCATTCAACATTGCTATCGTATTTGGAACGTGGACCCTCCTGCGCACATCAGAGCGCATCCCACATGCTCAGTTTCAACCTCGATAGTGTTCCTAAACATTGTTCCGATATTAGAGATTTGCAGGGCGGCCACTGGGCCTCTGTCCACACATTCACTGAGCACTCTGCAATCACTCAAGACTCCAGGGCTGATGCCATAGTTGGCCTAACCATATCTACCTCTATGACTCAAATGAACCCAAAGTCCCTCCTGCCTTCTGAGGGGCACTGCTCTACATTCACCTGAAGTGGAGCACCCACAGGGACAGCACTCGAAGAAGAAGAAGAGACGATTACTCACCTTGTGTAGTAACTGAGGTTCTTCGAGATGGGTGCTCCACTACACACCCTCCTCCCCTCTACTTCAGAGTACTGCAGAGTCCTTACTGCGAAGAGAAGGAACTGGAGGGCTCGGGTCATGCATGCGCTAGACGCGGCACCAATGGCACAACGAGATGCCTACTGTGCATGCGCGACCCATACGGACACTGCTACCATAAATCTCCGATTGATGGCGCCAGGACACATTGACACCTGAAGTGGAGCACCCACAGTGACACATCTCTCGAAGAACTTCAGTTACTGCACAAGGTGAGCAAACTTTTCTTTTTAGAGCTTTCAAAAAATAATACCAATTGGTTTTCTTTTGTCAGTTCATTCTTTTTGAGTACATTCTCTTTGAAATCCACTTAATCAAATAAATGTTAAAATGTAATAGCATCTACGTTAAGTAATAGTTACATCAGATTTAGCAGTAGCAATCTTTGCTTGGATCCCAGCTGAAAGAAGACATGTTGTTGCCTTAGTATATACAAGTAAAATAATTCCAAGTGGTAGAAATCAGTATCCAACCGCTCTGTTTGGTCTCTCTCTTCACAGACCACCACACCTGGCAATCGCATGCTCAGTGTTGTTTGAGCCTGTAGCCATCGTTTGTTTGCTGTTGTTTGTTTAGATATTTGTAGTTTTTGTGTTAGTGTTAGTATTTTAAATATTTTTATGCCAAGGTATATTTTGCCAGTGTTGAGAGTCTTGAGTCTCTGTGACAGCTATCCCATTGTCTGCAATGGGACATACCATGACCACAGGAATCAAGGAGGTAATGGAGGTCTCCTATACACAACTAAGAGTCCAACCTACCTTCTGTCCCTTCATAAGAAAATGAAGATAAAGTTCCTAAGCAGGTGTCTACTTATGTACATTCTTACCCCACTCCTTGGCAGTACCTCTTTCCATTGACCCCTGTAGAGTGTCCCTATAGCTTTTAGCTTGAGACATTAAAAATTGAACTGTGGGATACTGACTTGCTTTAGAAATATAGCTAAAATGTTTCTGCTGTCTACCACAGTGGACTCTACCGTCTTTAAAACATTAGCCAAAAAGTGGGCATAAGGGTAGTTTTGAGCTAAAAATGGAGTACTCCCACCATAGAATGCATAGAGCGGTGTCCACAGTTCTGTGCTTCTGGTCTTATTTCTTCTGCTTTTTTCCTCCTTTCCACTGGATCCATACTAATGCACACTCTTGCATGGGTTTACATTTATTTTTTGTATGTGATGGATTTTTACCCTATTGGTTAAGGAATTTGTGAAACAGGATTTTAGGATTTTGTTGAAATGTACAGAAAGTATCATGCTTGTTCTCTGCAAGTTAAACAGATAGATGAAGAGCAGTATAGGTCCCTCCTTCATTGTGGTTTTACCAACTCTCATCCTTTAATTTCAGAGAGAGAATTTCACGAGTCTGATTTTTTGGTAAGAATATTAAGAAATATTCCTAGAATTATTTTTATCTGAAAGATCATATATGTTTCAGTATTCCAGTTAAAGATCCTTCTTCCGGGAATATTTTAGTTTGTAGTAATCACAGCACGTTTTATGGTTACAAAGACAGATCACATGGCAGTCAGAAAATTGTATAATAATGGCAAAATAGTATCTTTTTCTGGAAATAAATTATTTTACTCCATAAAATCTTCTGCCTTCCCCAGGCTTGATTCTACTTTAGTAAACCATTCTGAGAAGAAATCATAATTAAAACTCTGTTTCAAAATTACATTTTATATAAAATACAGCTGAACTGTTACCATTCTAAATCCCTGTTTTTTAGAGGCTTACCACTTTTTGGAAGCATTTCTACTTTGGGCCTGCAATTTCTTACACTTATGCCCCTTTGGGCATGTCAGAGCAATGGCAAAGAAAGGTGGTTTCACATGTTAAGAAAATGGTTCGGACACACTTTTGCACTTTGGTAATTCAACCATTTTAACTTTAAACTTGCCATGGACTTAATCCTGAGTTGGAAAAATTAGAAAAAGTACCATTTGATATCTATGAAGAAATTTAGTTTGGAAATAGAAGTTAGAATTTTTCCCCACTAAATTGTGAAACATTTCTACAACTGCAAATATATACGCCCATCGAAATAAACAGATGCATTTTTTCCAGATATTTGAGGATCAGACAAAGACAAGGATTTTTACTCGTGTGAAAACACTGGATCGTTGTATTCTTCTTTGAGTAGTGTCTCTATGGGTGCTCCACTCCTAGGTGCACTCGTGCCCTCTGCCCCTTTGATCAGAAATTTCTTATAGCAGTGTCTGTTTGGCCTGTGCATGAGTGTTACTCAGTCTTATGCTCCACACCACTGTGTGGGTGAAGCACCCCGAGTTCCTTCTCAGCCGCCTTGGTCTGAGACGGTGCCTTAACAATTGTCTGCATTGAGTTTTACCTTAGCCTAGTTGTTCCTAGTAGTAGTTTAGTTTAGCTGTAGTAGTTTTAAAAAATATATATTTCAAATTCATTTTTATATATATAGACAGCTTTTCTCCACTCCTTGGAGTTTTACTTCACTGGGAGGGTGGGCCTGGTTCTTTTGATTTCAGGCATTGCTTGTCTTGTTGGGAGGCAATCCCGGAGAGTGATGGATGCTCCCAGTGCATCAGTTGCCTCAGAGAATCTCGTATTTCCCCAAAGTGCAACTTCTATCTGACATTAAAATCTAGAACCAGAAAAAAACAGGGAGATCATACTTCAACTCCTCATGATGGAGAGGTCGCTGCGCCCAGCCTCTGACCCAGGCCAGGGGACCCCCATACACCAGCCTCTGAGTAAGTCGTCTGCCTCCACTTTCTCCAAACTGCACTCCTCAAGGGCATCTCAGAGGAATACCCAAAAGACTCCCAAAGACCGTCGCTCTAGTTCTCCAGGTAGGAAATCTACCTTGAAGAAGTTGTGGTCTCTGATAACTCCATCCACTTTGGCACCCATTGCTCTCTGACCCAGTGCCAATGAGGCTGCTTGTTCCTCAGGTATCAAGGGCACTCTCAAATCTAAAGACTGTAAAGTCTTGGGCTCTGAGAGGTCATTGGTACTGTCAGTGGACCAAGGTGGCAAGAAGAGCTCTCTCTCTTCTCACCTACTACCGAAGAAGCCCACTCCGGGCTCCATCTGGACTCCCCTAGGAGTGGTCGAGATTCACAATAGCGTCAACTCCCATCACATCCACCGAGCTACATGAGGTTCCTCAGGGGGCTTGGAATTCTCCTTTCGCCAGTGAAACATCCTACTCCAGTTTGGGACCCCAATCTGATTCTTAAATGCCTTACAAGATCACTGTCTGTACCAATGGCTACCTGCTCACTCCTCCATTTATCCATGAAAACAGCATTTCTGGTAGCCACCACGTTGACTCAACAAGTTGGAGAAATAAGGTCCCTTATGGTATATCCTTTTTACAGTATTCTTCAAGGACAAGATCATATTATGACCACATCCCAAGTTTTTACCAAAAATATCTTCTGAGTTCCATATAAACCAACCCACTCCCCTTCCAATTTTTTACCTTAAACCTCACCTAGGCAAAGAAGAGGCACCATTACATACACTTGATATCAGGGGAGCCCTGGCCTTCTATGTTGAAAGGACTAAACCTTTCAGAAAGACTCCCAAAGTATTTGTCTTGATCTCAGACAGATCAAGAGGGTCTGCACTCTCTAAACAAAGGCTTTCCAAGTGGATATCTGACTGCATTATTTATTCCTACCAATTTTATAATCTCCAAACACCCTGGGGTATACAAACTCACTCTACAAGGGCTATTCCCACCTCTACAGCCTTTCTCAAAATTGTTCCCATCATTGAAATATGTAGAGTGTGATTTGGACCTTTGTACACGTGTCTGCTGAGCACTATGCAATAACTCATGACTCTGCTTCCAATGCTGTGTTTGGCTTGGCTATACTTTCATCAGTATTGGACTGAACTCCAAAGCCCCCTCCTCCTTAGAGGGAACTGCTGAGTACTCATCTGATGTGGCGCACCCAAAGGAACACTGCTCGAAGAAGAAGAAATGGTTATTCACCCTGTGCAGTAACTGTGCTTCTTTGAGATGTGTGTCCTTATGGATTCTCCACTACCTGCACTCCTTCCCCTCTACTTCGGAGTTCTCTGCTATGCAGCTTCTCAGTAGAAAAGGAACTGACTGTGGTTTGCCCATGCTATATAACAATGACACGGAGCAAGAGACCGAGTAATATGCACGTGCAGGCTGAATAGATGCTGCTATGAGAAATCTCCGATCAAAGGTGCAGAGGGTGCAAGTGCTCCTAGAGTGGAGCAGCCATAGGGACACACGTCTCAAAGAATCACAGTTAATGCACAGAGTGAGTAACCATTTCTTATATATAAGGCTAAGATATTTTCATGGATATTTTTAGTAAAAGTCAGGGACCTGTCCCTGACTTTTACTAAAAATAGCCATCACAAAATGGGGAGCCACAGGACAGTTGCGGGGGCCTGGCTGGGAGCTCCAGGGGCCGCCACCACTCATGGGGGCTCGGAGTTTCAGGGTCCCCATCCTCCGCAGCTCTGAGCTGTGGGGTCCCCCGCCGCCAGAGGCCAGGAGCTGTGGAGGCTGGCCAGGAGCTGCGGGGTCCCCCGTGGCCGCTCTGAGTCCCCCAGCGCCCATGGTGGCGAGGAGCTGTGGGGTATCCTGCACCCACAGTGGGCAGGAGCTGTGTGAGTCCCCCCAGCTGCCCACGGTGGTGGGGAGCTGCGGGGACCCCACTGGCGGCGGTGGCTGGGGCATCTGGGTTCTGCCTGCGGCGGCCAGTAACTGCTGGGTACCCCCACCGCCTCAGAGCTTGGGGCTCCCGCTGCCTTGGGTAGCGGGGGTACCCTGCAGCTCCTGGCCGCCCTGGGTGGTGGTGGGACCCTGCTGCTCAAGTCGTGGAGGTTTTCAGAAGTCACAGATTCTGTGACTTCCGCAATCTCCCTGATAAAATTGTAGCCTTACTTATGTATTGAAGTAAATGCACATAATGGGTGAATTGTTGCCCAGCCATTGGCCCTCAGAATTAGGGAACTGTAACTGGCTCCAAGACACCCTCATCTCCACTATGCTGAGCAAATCTCTGACTCAGGAATCAAGGCCAACATATTGGCTCAGTACTGCAAATACACTTAAATAATCTTTAGAGACAAGGTATGTGAGGTAATATCTTGTATTGGACCAACTGCTATATGAAAGGTGTATATAACTTCCAATAAAATAAGTTACCTCACCTCTGCCTTGACTTTCTCATATCCTGGGACCAATACAACTACAATAAGATTTAAATAATCTAGATATTTTGTTGGGAGTTAGGATTTTTATCTCTTTTTTTTCCCTCCTCAGATCATACTCAAGCTAGTTGAAATGTCCACTGCAAGAACTGGAGTCTTCAATGCAGTGCTTAGTTATTGCTGTCAGTCATGGTTATTTCCTACGTCTGATGACACAGGTGCTTTAGAGAATCCCTTCTCAAATGCTGGAAACTACAGTGAACTTATCACAGAAGCCTGTGTCTTTGGAATGGTATTTAGGCGAGATCAAAGGTATAAAATACCCTGCATTTAATTAGATTTTCATTATGTATTGTGACAAAGTTCCTCCTCTATCTTGATGGGTCCTGCGCTTATTGGCGGATTTTTCTTGCCTCAGAGATTCACCATGTGGGTTGGGGAACAGCCCAGAGACCTTCCCCTCTGGAAGAACCCCCAGTCCAGGTCAATTGGGAGGTTTGGGGGGAACCTGGGCCCGCCCTCTACTCCGGGTTCCAGCCCAGGGCCCTGTGGACTGCAGCTGTCTATAGTGCCTCCTGTAACAGCTGCATGACAGCTACAACTCCCTGGGCTACTTCCCCATGGCCTCCTCCAAAAGACCTTCCTTATTCTCACCACAGGACCTTCCTCCTGGTGTCTGATAACGCTTGTGCTCCTCAGTCTTCCAGCAGCACACCCTCTCACTCTCAGCTCCTTGCGCCTCTTGCTCCCAGCTCCTCACACTCACACCACAAACTGAAGCGAGTTCCTTTTTAAAGCCCAGGTGCCCTGATTAGCCTGCCTTAATTGATTCTAGCAGCTTCTTCTTAATTGGCTCCAGGTGTCCTAATTAGCCTGCCTGCCTTAACTGGTTCTAGCAGGTTCCTGATTACTCTAGTGCAGCCCCTGCTCTGGTCACTCAGGGAACAGAAAACTACTCATCCAGTGACAAGTATATTTGCCCTCTACCAGACTCCTGTACCCCACTGGTCTGGGTCTGTCACAGTATGTGTGATTATATTTGTTAGGATTTGTGCTCTTTAGCTACTCAGTTTAGTTTTTTGAGATTCACTTAATTGTGTTTTCTCTCTTCCTGTTTCAAATAACTTTTCATTTGAGAAGACTCATTCAGGATGTCCATGCCTTTGTAGAAAATCTTGGAGATGAATGTGCAGCCAATGTTGTCACAGAAAGGTATGTTTTTAATATTTAACATGTATGGTAACTGCATCCTTCATTGTTGCTGGGGGCTGGAATTATATTATGTATATGTTCTTCAAAGCCAAGTTCTTATGAACATGTTCATAAACTCTATCCTAAATACTGGTAAATCATACATGTTTTAATGTATGTTTATATTCAGGGATTGTCTAGATAATACTTAATCCTGCCATCAATGCAGGGGACTGGACTGGATGACAAACCCCCACATACACGCCATGCCCCAATGCTCCCAACCTGGCCCCTCACTCTGGGGACAGGGAACCAAACCCTCCCTGCCCTGCCTCCCATGTTCCCGTCTGGCCCCCTCTGGGGGTATCCCATCGAGAACAGGGGCCTGGTGAGCTCTGCCTCCCTGCACCAGCCTCACCTCTCCTGCCACACGTGGAGTCCCTAAGGTAAAATCCACCCTCCTCTGCAAACAAGGGCTCGCTCAGCTGAAGGGAGCCCACTTAGCTCAGTAAAAGGAGTTTAACAGGAGTTTAATTGCACTGCTTAACATGCAATTAAAACTGGGATTAATAGCGATTAATTTTTTTTATCTCTTGGCTGCCCTAATTATTACCAGTATGTCTTGATCTCTGTTCTCTTGGTTGTAGACCACTCTTCAGTTTGGTCTAATATGCACAATTCAACAGCAAGCTCTGCCTCCCGTCATTGCTGTAGCTGGGAATTTGAATGAAAAACTATTGCCACCAGAATATTGATCCTTTCTGCAGCTTGACACACACTTCCACCCAGACCCAAGGAAATATGTCCTCCCTAGCACCTCCGCCCCCAAATAGCATTTCTAACTAGTTTCAGTAACTACTTAAAAACTTCATTGACAATCACCAGCCCTTACTTGACACTGCTAGGGGTTTATTGCTTCAGCATTCTCACCCAAGAGGGTCTCAGTTTACAAAGTGTTTGATATGACAGCCTGATACTCAGTTGTCTGTAATGTAATGAAAACCTGGAGTTGAGATCACTCACTCCAAAAGTCTCAGGGTACCCTTTCTTCTAATTCATATGCAATCAAACACTGTTTTGTAAATGGAACATTTATTACTAGGGCCCTACCAAATTCACAGTCCATATTGGTCAATTTCACAGTCATAAGATTTAAAAAATTGTAAATTTCATGATTTCAGTTATTTAAATCTGAAATGTCACAGTGTTGTAATTGTAGGGGTCCTGACCCCAAAAGGAGTTGTGGGGCGGGGGTTGCAAGATTATTGTAGGGAGGGTTGCGGTACTGCTACCCTTACTTCTGCGCAGCTGCTTGTGGTGGTGCTGCCTTCAGAGCTGGGCAGCTGGAGAGTGGCAGCTGCTGGCCAAGAGCCCAGCTCTGAAGGCAGAGCCACCGCCAGCAGCAGCGCAGAAGTAAGGATGGCATAGTGTGGTATTGCCACACTTACTTCTGCGCTGCTGCCTTCAGAGCTGGGCGGCCGGAGAGTGGCAGCTGCTGACTGAGGGCCCAGCTCTGAAGGCAGCAGTGCAGAAGTAAGGGTCGCATGGTATGGTATTGCCACCTTTACTTCTCAGCTGCTGGTGGTGGGGTGCTGCCTTCAGAGCTGGGCGCCCAGCCAACAGCCGCCGTTCTCTGGCCAAGCTCCTTAACTCTCCTCTCCTAAGGCAAGTTATCCATTCCTTTGCTTCCACCTTGGATGTGGCAATTTCTACTTTCATATCCTCGTTCCCATTAGCTATCCTGCCACTGCCTCCAAGCTCCTCATTACTCCTAAAAACTGAGGCAACATTTTCATTTATGTGTTGGGCCATACCTACATTATCTTTAATCTGCACCCCATCCTCAGTGCTTAGTGGCCCCACTTCTTCTTTCCTTGTTTTCTTCTCATTTATATGGCTAAAGAACCTTTTTACTATTGATTTTGATTTCTTTTGCAAGGTCCAACTTTGCTTGGCTTCTGGCAGGTCTCACTTTTCCCCTATACTTTCTGGCCTCCAAGAGGTACCTTTTCTTGCTGATCCATTCTTTCATTCCTTGTAGGCTTTCTGCCTGCTTATGTTCTTACCTTTACATGTGAGTAGTCCTGTTGATGTCAGTGGAACTACTCACATGCATAAAGGTAAGCATATACGTAAACCTTTGCAGGAATAGAGCCTATATGGCAAAAAACATTATTAATAGACAGAGAACCATGTCTTTTGTCTTGATTGTGGTGTGGATGAAGGAGGAATGTGGGGGTGGGGGAATTAAATGGTAAAAATGAAATTTGCAGTCCAGATATGGCTTTCAAAATGTGCTTATTTCTAAGAAAAAATAAATGTTTTAATGAACGAAAAGCTATATACACACACAATTGAAACCTTTCAGAGTATATCTGCTAGTTACTTACATTGAAGTTGGTTGGTGAGTAGTTCACATAATTTCACTACATACAGCTTCAGCATCATACAAGTACCCGGTCCCTCTTGACAGATGGATGCTGTGACGCTAAAGAAATCTCTTTACGATGTTTCATGGGTATTTCATTTGTAACATGGAACTCTAGAAGACATTTACCTGCTGTTTGGAATGTATTTTGGAATTTAGATTAAAACATGCATATTCTTTTAACGTAATACCAAGTACTTGTGCAAAATATTTTTATTTATTTAGGGGTGTCCTCTGACTCTCCCCAACTATCCAGCTTCTTTCTGTCTTCATATTTGTTTTTAATAAAATGAAAATATCAAATTAATATTTTAGATAATAAATATATATGGGTTTTTATAATGTGTGAGATTCAGCTTGCTTAATATCTGAATTAGTTGATTCTCATTTTTGTGTTAATAAAATGTTTTACAGTACAAACAGAGATGACCATTATGTGCGAGTTTGTGCTGTCAAATTTCTATGCTGGTTGGATGGATCAAATACATTGCACAAGATGTTTATGGAAGACCTTGTCATCAAACTACTTGATAAAGTAAATTTCTGTTGTTATTTAATATACATAATGTTGATCTCATACTAATTAGTTGAAATATAAGGTACTCACAGTTCAAGGGGTATTATAGAATGGTCAAAATCTTTTTTTTAAAGCATCTCTAGCTTTGACTTCCTCATCCAATAAATAATATCTTTTTACCACCACCACAAGACCTGTCAGTGTGATTTGAATATTCCTGGCTATATTATTGCTTGAGGATGAGATTAGAGTTTATTCAGCCAGAACTGAGGAAGTAACAGTGGCAAGTCTCAGGTTTGTTACTCCATTTGTGCTGGGCTGTTTTTTTCATTGCACGTATTCAAAACATAAGCATCATTGTCTTGAGAATTTGTACTTGGCTTGGCGATGTTGAAAATGCTGGTTTTCCCTTGCCTTCTACTGTGTTGTCTAATATCTTTCATGTCCAATAAACTCTAGGCTATTTGTAAGCATTTCTAAGAGGTTTGGCTTCTCAAAATAATTTTTTGGCTGATGGGGGGTGGAAGGCCCAATCTTCAGCTACCCTATAGTGACTCTATCCCCCAGTGCTGGTACAAAGCATTCCAAAGCTGCCATGAGAGGATCACCTGCCCATGCATAGGGAGACCCTCTGGGGGCATGTAAGCTCCTATGGCAATCCCTTTCCTGTGTCTGGTGTAGGGCCTTGACCCAGGGCTTCCATGCACTCCAGCAGTCCCTGGCTACTGAGACATCCCCTTAGGGCTATCGGCAGCTGGTGTAATTTAGAGTAGACTTTAAACTACTCTATGTTCTGCTGGGTGACTAGACCAGCGCACAGCTGGTTCAAGATCAGAACAGTGCAAAAGTGACTGAAAGCCAGCTTGACAGTCCTTGGGGTGCTATTTTGGACTATCACTTGTTTTATCTTACAGCTTTGTAAAATTGTCATATAAACTATAATTCCAGATGAATTTCATAGAGTAGTTATCAGTGGTTCAAATTCAAGCTGGAAGGGAATATCAAGTGGGGGTCCCTCAGGGATCAGTTCTGGTCCACTTATGTTCAGTATCTTCATAAATGATTTCAATAATGGCATAGAGAGTACACTTAGAAAATTTTGTGGATGACATCAAGCTGGGAGGGGTTGCAAGTGCTTTGGAGGATAGGATTAAAATTCAAAATGATCTGGACAAACTGGAGAAATGGTCTGAAGTAAATAGGATGGAATTCAGTAAGGACAAATGCAAAGTACTCCACTTAGGAAGGAACAATCAATTGCACACGTATAAAATGGGAATTGACTGCCTAGGGAAGGAGTACTTCAGAAAGGTATCGGGGGGTCACAGTGGACCACAAGCTACATATGAGTCAACAGTGTAACAACACTGTTGCAAAAAAAAAAAAAAAAAGCAAACATTACTCTGCTATGTATTAGTGCAGGGGTTCTCAAACTGGGGGTCGGGACTCCTCGGGGTCACGAGGTTATTACATGGGGGGTCGCGAGCTGCCAGCATCCACCCCAAACCCCGCTTCACCTCCAGCATTTGTAATGGTGTTAAATATATAAAAAAGTGTTTTTAATTTATAAGGGGGGGTCGCATTCTGAAGCTTGCTATGTGACAGGGGTCACCAGTACAAAAGTTTGAGAACCACTGATAGCAGGAGTGTTGTAAACAAGACATGAGAAGTAATTCTTCAGCTCTACTCCACGCTAATAAGGCCTCAACTGGAGTATTGTGTCCAGTTCTGGGCACCACATTTCAGGAAAGATGTGGACAAATTGGAGAAAGTCCAGAGAAGAGCAACAAAAATGATTAAAGGTCTAGAAAGCATGACTTATGAGGGCAGATTGGAAAAAATAGGGTTTATTTAGTATGGAGAACAGAAGATGGAGGGGAGACATGATAAAAGTTTTCAAGTACATAAAAGATTGTTACAAAGAGGAGGAAGAAAAATTGTTCTTGTTAACCTCTGAGGATAGAACAAGAAGCAATGGGCTTAAATTTCAACAAGTTCGGTTTAGGTTGGACATTGGGGAAAAAATCCTATCAGGGTAGTTGAGCACTGGAATAAATTGCTAGGGAGGTTGTGGCATCTCCATCATTGGAGATTTTTAAGAGGTTAGACAAACACCTGTCATAGATGGTCTAGATAATACTTAGTCCTGCTTTGATTTCAGGGGACTGGACTAGAAGACCTCTCGAAGTCCCTTCCAATCCTATGATTCTATGAACAAGTTACTTATCTACTGATTCCATGATGTTTGGGAGGGACATCCAACCCCAGTTCTTTCTTCCAGTCCCAACCTCCCTTTACCCCCCCCACAATTGCTAGAGTAAAAACTATCTTAATATTAATTCAGATTTTAAAATAAACTTGTTTTGTCCATAATCCTGCCTCTTTTTACATTTGCTTGGCATGAACATTCCTGAAGTTGGCCCAGATGTCAAAGTTGCATGTGAGTATTTTTACAAATCAAGAGCCAGAGTCTCAGCTAGTGGAAATCTGCATAACTCCACAGACTTCGGTGAAGGTGTTTCAATTTCAACCAGCTGAGAATCTGACCTCAGATTTTAAATTAAAAAAAATCCTATTGCTCACTTGTGTGAAGAAAACATAAATCAAGTGTAGCCAATTCAGTGTTGTCTTCCTTTCCTGGGGATAGGCTGAAATATTAGTTCTGGGATATATTAATTGCCTTATTCATTTCAACGGTAGTTAAATATAAAATCTAAAGATGTTCGTTTCGGCTGGGATTTTCAAAAGAGCTAAGGGAATTAGGTGTTGAATTCCCATTGAAATTCAAGGGAAGTTAAGCATTTAACTCCCTATAGGTCTCTTGAAAAGCCCAGCCTTAAGTGTCAATGTTAACTATTTCACTGCTGATCATTTTTATGAGAAACGTCCAGCTAATGTATTTACCTCACAATACCAAACCCCCTCCTCCCTCGTGCCAGAAACTTCAGCGGTTCCCCACCCAGCTGCCAAAGCCACCACCTTCCCCATAGACCACTTCTGCAGAGCAATTATGCACTGTGAATTCAAAAATGCATGGAAACTTAAAAAAACTGCAAATGGGAGCACAGTATAAAATAAATTGAATTTAATATAAAAATAAATAATACACAGGCTACTGTCCTGGTTGTATTCTGTATTTTCATATTTAATTCAATGAGTTTTACATTTTACAGAAAATGAAAAGAACTTGCCGCAGATTCCAAGGACCCTTGTGCCAGAATTTAAATCCCATTTGGCAGAGGGCTTGCTCGTATTTATTTGGTCTGTGTTTAACTTTTATGTTATCTGAAGAGACAGCTCTCTTCTTTTGACATACTGCCACAGTTGCAGTAAGCAGAGGCACGATTCCCCTTGCTATAAAAGAGAAGGGCTCATGGGGCTCAGGCTTTGGGGCTGTTTCGTTGATGTGTAAACTTACGGTCTTGGACTGGAGTTCTAGGACCCTGCAGGGTGGGAAGGTCCCAGAGCTCAGGCTACAGTCTGAGCCTGTAAGTCTGCTACACAGCAATGAAACAGCCCGCAGCCTGAGCCCCACGAGCACGAGTCAGCTGGCACAGGCCAGCCATGGGTTTTTCTTTGCTGTGTAGACATACCCTAAGGGGCACATATTACAATTCTGTCATGAGTTTAAGGACATGAGTTTAATCTCTAGGGTGCCTAGAGATTTCATATAGGCAGTCTTTATTTCTTAAAACTATAGGACAAAACGAACAAATAGAACCGTAAATAAATTATGAGTTTGTTCATGTTATGCTATTAACATGCAAATTGAACCTCCAGAGTACTACACACACACACACACACATATATTAAGGAAATACTTTCAGTCAAATATTTTGATAAGTAGAAAGGAGAATATGTAAGGAAATACCTGCCTGATCTAAAGTTAAATTAGTGTGTTGTATTGACAGCTGCTTAATACTTGATTTATTTGACCTATTTTCTCTCATACAAACATGTTTCTGTTGTTGACTAGAGCTCCAGTTACAAGCTGAGCCAAACGCCAGTACTGAATTATTGCAGTGTTTATTAGTATTATCAAAACGCTTATCCCAAATTTCAATTTGGAAACTAAACAATTTGTTTCTTCATTTGGATATTCATATCTGCAAGTAGGAGCTTTAATAGTTATTTTATACAACTAAATGTCAATTTGAGTGCCCTAATTTAGGCAATCTAATTTGAAAACTGGGATCCATGTTTCTGTTTATGCTGCATTTTGAGTTAATTACTTGTATGCTGTAGGTGCTGTTTTTGGATAGTCTTTTGAACACATTCTTTCTCATCTCAACACATAAGATTTGTATGCTTGTATGTTAAGATAAGAATGACCTTCTAATTTTACTTAGTATCCTTGCTAAGTTCAGTTACTTTTTGTGTATGGATTTCAAAATGTAATTCTAAAAAACCAATACATTTCAGAATAATACTTGAAGAGCTATTGAAGAGACCACTTATACCTACCTTTTAATCCATTTTTTTAAATTTTAAAAGTTTAAAAGACTTATTACATGTACTTTGAATTTCTTTTCAGGATGAATTGGTGTCCAAATCTAGAACACGCTATTATGTGAACTCTTTACAACACAGAATTAAAAATCGGCTGTGGCAAACACTGCTAGTTATTTTTCCAAAACTTGATCAGGTATTACCTTTATTACCTAATTGCTTTTATTTTTAATGGAATACTATGTAATTTTATGTAATAGGAATTTTGTTAAGCAAAATTGAATATATTAAATGGAGTAGGCAATTTCATAAATATTTGATCTATATTTGCACTTGGCATCCAAAAGTCCAGTGTAATATAAACTTCATTTCTGTAACATGAACTCTCATGTAAGATAGATTTTCTAGAGAGACAAAATATTAGTTGTAACACTTATGTACATTACAACAGATTTGATTGTTAATTTATTTACATGAAGGCTGACTAATACAGTTATCTGTATGTGCTGCCTTAATGCTGGATCCTGCAAATGGACTTCAGTAGGTCTGGGATGTGAACAGGTTGGATCCATTTGCAAGATTTAGTCCTTAAATTCTGTATAGCCAACACCTAGATACTGTATAGCCAACACCTGTAAGGATTTGTGCCCTTAAATATCATGGACAGATTGCTGATTCTAGTTTTCATTTAATAAAAATACTACTATTTAAAATATTCAGAATGTTTAGGATTTACTTTTCTAAACCTCTGGTGCTTGTTTGAATTTCATTTATTTTTCTTCCTAATGGAATATTTTGTATTGTTTGGATAATCTGTCATAATGTACGTAAAAACACAGTGCCTGGCATGGAAAGAATTGAAAGAAGCCATTGAAAGAATTGTATAGGTGCTACATTCATTCTTTAGAACAGTTAGAGTGAGGACCTAAATTCTGGCACAGCAATATAATTTTTAATTATGTAAAAGTTCAAAAGATACTCATTCTTTATTCCCACTTCATATGAATTGGTTATATAAAAGAGTTGTTTTGAAAATAAGGTATTTTGTTAATACAGTTATAATTTAAAACAAAACAAACCCACAGCACTTCCTTGCTACCTCTTAATGAAAAATAAAGGACCACCTTCTGCTGTGTGTTGAGGTTAGCATATTTGGCAAGATAGGGCAGAGGAGACTAAAGCAGCAGTTCTGCAGCATATTTCTTTTTGGCCCCAGATATTTCAGTATCTCCCTACAGAGTAGAGTTTTTCCCACATTGGTGAACATGTAGCATATAGATATTAAATGTATCTATTAAATATTGTTGCTTTGATTGTTCTAAGGTGTTTCAAACAAGATTTGAGGAACAAATGACAGTAAAGTTTTTGGTTTTTGTAGTTTAGCAAGATTTTGAAATTTATTGATGAAACTTTAGATGACTAATCAATAGGGGGGGTAATTTTATTTTGCTCAGAATTTTTTGACTGGGACTCTTGACAAGATATTTCAGGCTGGATTTGGTAACAATCAAGCATCCATAAAATACTTAATAGAATGGATTATCATCTTGATTCTGCACAGATACCCCCAGTGTCTTGAAAATTTTTGGAATTGTTTCTGCTATGTAAGTAAGAATTTTAACATTCATTCTGTGTCTAATTTGAACAAGTGTAAGATGTCTTCTCACATACATGGGATCTAATGCAATATTTCTTGTACATCCATAATTTTTCTTAAAGTCAGTAAGTGTTTTGAGTGCTTAAAGAACAGAAGATCAAACCCACAGAATCTGATTCTGTGTGGCACCCTGATATGATACTTTGGTGTGACAGGGGGCTGTAACCCGCATGGATGCCTCCAGCTCGGAAATCCCCATGCTCGCTGTGGTTCCGCAGGAAGACTGGTATTGGTGTAAGAGCCCAGTAACATCCCTCCTGGCAGCCAACAACATAGGGGCTTTCAGGGGTATGACGGGACATGGGATGGCTCCACAAAAAGTCATTGAAGGCACTGTAAATTAAAACAGCCGTAGGAACTCCTCTGTCTTACTGTGGGAGCCATGCCAGCCTTTGGACCAGCCCCAAATCTTGGAAGTATAAAGGTGTTAAAAAGTCAAATTTGTTTCCCCATCTAAGTTGTCATCTGCGAAGTGCAGCACAGAATCTGGTTTCTAGTGTGCTTGTGTCATATAAGTAATATTCCCATTTATAAATTATAGCTTTTAATGTCGCTGTTTTGCTCAGCATCATGTTACCCAGTTACGAGTGTTGGAGACAAATTTTGAATATTGTTCACTTTTGTCTTTCAAGATATTTTGCATTTTCATATGTTGCTAAAAAAAAAGTTCTTAAAATTCACCATCTTGAGGGGAGGAAAAACCTTCCAAAGTCATTAAAGCAGTTAACAAACAAAATGTACAAATAAAGTAAATATTTATTTTAATCTTGATGGTAGATATATGGTAGAAGTGTTCAATAAATATTTCTGTTCTATATTTGGAAAGAAGTAGGATGATGTACTTGTATCCTATGAGGATGAAGATCTACTTTTTAGTCCATTCGTCGCTGAAGGGGATGTTAGATAACATCTATTAGCGATAAACATTTTTAAATTAGTAGGCCCAGATAACTTGCATCCAAAAATCGTAAAAGGGCTGACTGAGGAGATCTCTGAACTACTGATATTAACTTATAATAAATTGGGCAGTACCAGCGAAATTCCAGAAAACTGGAAGACTGCTAATGTGCCATTATCAAAAAGGAAAACCTAAAGCTAACTATAGGTTGATTAGCCTGACATCAGTACCAGCAGAATAATGGAAAAGTTCATACGGGATTTAATTGACAAGTAAAGAATAGGTCTGTAATTAATGCTATTCACAATGTTTCTATGGGAAATAGATCTTGTCAAACAAACCTGATTTCACTCTTTGAAATTACAAACTTGGTTGACAATGGTAGCTGCATAACTGCGTGGATATAATAGACTTTTCTAAGGCATTTGACTTAGTACTGCATGACATTCTGAATTAAAAACTTAGTATTATACAGTAAGCATATGTTAAATGGATTAAGAACTGGCTCACTGACAGCTCAAAAAGTAGTTGTCATTGGGGAATCATCATTGAAAGGGGGTGTTTCTAGTGGGGTTTTGCATGTCTGACACTATTCAACATTTTAATCAGTGCTCTAGAAATACATATAAAATCATTGCTGATAAAATGTGCAGATTACGCCAAGATTGGCACAGTTGTAAATAATGAGGATAGGGCAGTCATACAGAGTGATCTGGATTGCTTGGTAAACTGGACCTGTTCAAACAAAATATATTTTAATACTCCAAATGCAAAGTTGTACATCTAGAAACAAGGATTGCAGGCCGTACCTACAGAATGGGGGACTGGAAAACAGAGACTCTGAAAAGAATTTAGGGGTCATAGTGGACAAACAACTCAACATGAGCTCCCAATGTGGTGATGTGACAAAAAGGGCTAATGGTGATCCATGGATGTATAATCAGGGAGTAGGAATATGCAGGTGATTTTATTTCTGTACACAGTACTGATAAAACCCAATACTGTATACTGTTCTGGTGTCCACATTTAAAAAAGGGTGTTGAAAAATTGGAGAAGGTGAAGAGAAGAACCACAAAAATGATTTGAGGACTGAAGAAAATGCCTCAGAGTAAGAGACTTAAAGACCTCAATCTGTTTAATTTATCAGAAAGGCAATTGAGAGGCAACTTGATTACTATGTTTAAGTACCTTCACAGGAGAAAATATGAGGTACCATGAGGCTCTTTAATGTAGCAGTGTAATGCTTAACAAGAACCAGTGGCTGGAAGCCGAAGCCAGACAAATTCAAATTAGAAATTAGGTACACATTTTTAAACAGTGAGGATGATTAACCTTTGGAACAAATTACCAAAGGAAGTAATAGATTCTCCTTCTCTTGAAGTCTTCAGATCCAGACTGGATGCCTTTCTATAAGATAA